TTAGCTTTGGAGGGACAGAAGACAGCCCTAACAAACTCCAGCTAGGACCAGGCCCTTCTGTGCTTGGTAGGCATGATCTGCAGTCTTTACAACAAAGCTGCAAGGTGCATCCTGTGATCTTCATTATTCTCACCAGGAACTGAGGCTCAGTGGGGTTGGGGGTCTTGCCCCGTAGTTACTCAGTGGTGGAGCTGAAATCAGAACACAAGTCTGTTTTGCTTCAAACCTGGTGCTCTTCCCACTCTTGTCTACCACAGGAAGGTGGGAATTACCTGAGCCTGAAGGCCATCAAATTCATTCTCTTTCCAAGTCAGAGAAAAAATACCTCTGCTTTCTTTGGTGATGGTGAATGTGCAGATCAATACCCTCCCAAGGACCATGGGTAAGCCTATGCCCAGGCGGCAGGGCAAGCTGCTCAAGGGAGCCTCCAGAGGGCCTCCAGGGACTGCTGCACATCACCTTTTGGGTTGCCTCATTCTCTTTGGAACAGTGACAACGACCTTTGCTTACGCTCTTCTCCTTTGCTTCAAATTCTCTTTTCTTTCCATTGCATATGAAGGCATTGCCCATCCTTCAGGGTCTGGCCAATGACACTGGTCATGACAAAACCCACCCACTTCCTCTTGTCCTCAACTTCAGTCATGCTTATCACTTACACACTGCAGCTCGCTTTGGACATGGGCCAGCTTCGGGCTGGCTCTTGCTTTGGTACTTATGAGCTGGGTGGCCTGGGTAAGTCCTGTAACCTCTCTGGTCTTCCCTCATCTATGAATTAGGGTTTAAAAATCTGTCACTGTGAAAGGGGAATTAAGTGAATTAACACATTTATTGCATTTAACATTGTACCTGACATGCAATGGAATTTAGTAAATCATGTCTTTCAAGCTTATGTTTTTCTTTCAGTCTGTTTCATGCCTTCTCAATGAGACTAAGAGGTTTTTGGGGACAAGAACCATGACTCATTTCAATGTGTGAATACATAGCACAGTTTTGGGCCTAGAGAAATCACTCTGTTCCATGCAACACATTTGATAGTATCTGAGGTATATAACACAATTGCAAATAACAGCCTTGGGTATTGACTTGTATCAAAAACTATTGGGTGGATCACCTCTGAACCCATACTCCCATTAATCTATTCATCTATCCACCATTGACTGATTGCCTCCTAAATGCATCTCTCTCAAGATTTGTTTCTACAGTTTCTTTAGTAGAGAGAGCTATAGGCTGGGGATGGAAAGTGCCAGGAATGCGTGAGGGAATGTGGAAAGAGCAATGGAATGCTGAAAAGATGGCTCTGCAGACCTCACCGTGTATAAGAAACAGCTGGATGGGTGGATTCAGACTCTCAGTTCCCACTACCTGAAAATTCTAATTTAGTGATCTGAGGTGATATTAACACAACAAACAAATGAAAAAAAGGAACTCCCCGGGTGATTGTTTTTATGTGCAGCCAGGGATAAGAACCACTGAAGCAGATGCACAAATACTCCAAGGAATAATCTTCCTGGGTACTCAGGAGATGCTAAGGGAAGGGCTGTGTGCTGGGCTGAAGCCAGGAGCCCTGGACTGGAGGAGGGAGGAGGGACTTGTGCAGAGGCTGATCAAAGGTGGGCTCATCTTCATCTCTTGCCCTCCTACTCCCCAAGGGGAACCAAGGGGAGTATCAAGTCTAGGATCCTCAAGGGAGAGGGGCGGAAGCTACAAGAAGCATGGGAAGGCAAAGTTGTGTGTAGTTTAGGAAATAAAACACTTCCAGGAAAAATCCCACTATTGCCCTATTTAGATGGAGCTTGGAGTCACAACTTGATGACACTGGGTCATTAGAACTCACAGATGGGACTAACTTGCAAAAGTAGATAAACCAATTCACTCTTCCTCCCACCTCCCCCATTCAAGCCTGGGCAGGTCAGGGCTGCTGAAAGGTTTCCAGGAGAGCAGTTATGTTAAACACCGGATGCTTCTAAGATTTGGAAGAATGGTTTCCTGATGTGTTTCAGGATAGTTTCACAATGACAGCTGCTGATCACGATCACTCCGCAAAACAATGTCATTTTAGGCTGCTTCGAGGAACCAGATGCGGGGCTGCTGAGAATCCAGATGACTTATTCCGGGCATATGACATCAGAGTGCTTGATTTCCTTCTCTCTCTCTGCTACCTTGACAGATAGGAGAATAGAATTGGAGGAGACCAGGAAGTTGCTCATCACCACAGGGTTCGTGCTGAGCATGAAACATGAGATCATATTTCTCAGCTTTTGCTAAGAGAGCCGGCTGGGTCAGGTTGGTGAGTTCTAGTAGAGATTAGCCAGGATTGACCATTTAAAAAGAGAAAGAAATCGGGAAGCACATCAGGTAAATTTTCTTTGTCTCTCTGCCCTTTGTGTCTCTTAGTTGTCTACCATTTACTCCATGAATTTAGAATAAATAGCAACTTCTAAGGGCTTTACAATTGAAGGGGCCCTACTGTGAAGGTACATGGCCTTTGACCTGGAATGCTGCTCGGTGTTTTTAATGGGATGGAATTGGATTATTTTTCCCCCATTTGCCAAGTTAAACAGCCTCTACTGGCTTCCTCACAGATGAGAACAGCTGTGAGCAGGAGGGGTAATGAAAGGCTAATTGATTTAGGTAAGAAAGTTTGACTTCAGGTCTCTCCCAAAATGGAGCAGTAACCCCAAAAGCTGAACTGATCTTCAGCTGCTATCACTGTTCTGATTGGTCAGACCCATGCCAAACTGGTTGCTAAATATTGCCACTATCTCTCCTGTCACATGGAGAAGCCACCCCTCACCCTTGCCCGCCATCGGATCACTGTGTGTAGCTGCTGGTATTCCTCTGCATTCAGAGAACACATCGTTCCCCACAGTGGGGTCCTTCCTACATCTCTAATGACCTGTGATTTTGCTGTCACCAAATAGGTCAAATAAGAATGCCTATTTAATCAAGGACTGTCTCCAGAAGACCAGGGAAAGATGGAGGCAGTATTGGCCAGTGGGCTGTACAACAGGATCAGACAGACATGACCATTTTAGGACATTAGGATTCTTGCTAACTCCAAGAGGCCAACACTGGGAAATAGTGGAAAGATACTGAGTCAGCTCCAGTTCATTGAATGCCTGAGTCCCTCCCTGGCTGTCACATACTAAAGGAGGCTTATTAATCATTCAGTTACTAATTTTCATCCCCTTGATTAACTGCTTCAGTGTGGAACCAGCTAGAACAGTGCACTAAGTGGGGGCCCAAAAATATTAAGCAGCCTTTGAAATACCCAATTTATTCCAGAAACAGTTGCTATCACCAGGCCAGATCAGCCTGCTCAGTACCCAGAAAAGCCTACACCCTTTCAATAACGACAGAGTTGCTATGATTTCTGTACAGCAGACACATCTGGTCTTAAATCTGGTCTATTCCCGTAACCTAAATTGCAAAGAATTTCCAAAATCCATGAAGTTGCAGAATTTTAAAAATGTATTTGATTGCCAGAACTGCAAATTGGGTCAGTTTTCCAGGGCCTCGGCTGCCCTCTTTTCCACTGGGAAAAGGAAAAGGAGGCAGCCAGCAGCTGCTGATTGAAATACAGTTCTCCCTGGCATGGAAGTCTTGGCTCTCTGTGTGTTATCCTGGTCACAGTCCCCTGGTACCCCCTGCCCGGCCTGGGCCATGGCCTGCCCTTCCTGATGGTTGCCCTCTGGATTCCACTAGTAATTGGAGTGAAGCCATTGCAGCCTGCATCCAAGCAGGTCTTCAGGACTTTTAATCACATTTGAGCCTCAGAAAAGCCTGTGAGTGGAGCAGAGCTGCAGGTATAAAGATCCCCATATCACAGAAGGGGTGACTTACTGCATATTTGACTCTGATACGTGACTTACTCAAGGATGCAGTTTACAGTAATTCTGGATCCTAACCCATATCTTCTGTCTCTTAGTCTTTTGGTCTTTTTACAACAATACGTAAAGAAGTCAGTAAGGAAAGAAATCTATAAAAAGTAGTTTGTGCTGGTCCCCAGACTCACAAGGGTTGGAAGTATTCCATCTGGTGCTCTACTTTTTAAATGCAACAGTGGTTTATCTGATCACCAAAAAACTTCATTTTCATCACCAACATGATGAAGAGATAACTATCAAAAATCCATATATAAGATGGGATATATAATGATACTAATCTTCTACATTACATATACTATAATACTATAAAAATCTATAAATACAATATAGTTTTATAACTGAATCCAGGATTATTCATACTCATGGGTGGTAGCCCACTTATGTGGGCCATGAAATCAATTTAATGGGTTGCTACCAGAATTAAAAGAAAAAAAAAGGAAACACGTAAAGGGAGAAAAAATAATTAGAATGGTCGATCTCTTGATCAGAGCAATGGTTACATGAATATGTACACATGTCAAAATTCATCACGCTGTATGCTAAGATGTGTGCATTTGATTGTACATACCTCAATATAAAAATATTTTAAAGTAAAAATAAATAAATAATAATTTAAAAAGTAAAGAAAAGAAAAGGATCAGATAGGATAGAATAGAATTGAAAATAGCAGAGTGTTGCACATAGCAAAGGTAAGGATGGATCCCTAAATTCTTTTGTCCATGTATCATACGTACTGGACACAATGTTAAAAGCATTTCTTACTGAGCAGTCCTTCCTTTTCTCTTGCTCTCCGTCTCTCTCCTCACTCTCCTTTCTTTCCTTCTCTCTTTCCCCCTCCATGTATATAAGAAAAGTACCCAAACGTCTGCTACCCTTGCCCCGTTTACAGGTACCCTCCCCAGCCCTCCCCAACCCCATCCTTCCTGGCACTGGCACTTCCCGCAGGACCTGGAGCAGAGGCTGTTCTCCTGGTTGATACCTTTATGCTCCCCTCCTTTCTCCGCTCTTGGAAAGGTCCATTTGTAGTGTGACCTTGGACACAGGGTTTGCTCGCTCTTTCTATGTTTGATAAAGAAATTGCTCTTCCTCTAACCCATCCCATTTCCATTTCAGGCAAAGCCACTCAAACTTGAAGAAATGAGATTCCCAAGGAGAACCGCTTTGTGCTTCATGATTATGGTGGTTCATTCTTCCCAGGCTACACTGAACTTGAATTTAGAGTCTGTTGTTCATCCTTTGGTGAGTGAATCCATGTCTGCTCTATTTTTCCCTGTCACATTTTTCTCATTTCCTGGGTGTGTCACAGATGGAAATTGCTTTAAATGTTTTTTTTTTCCTAGGGCCTTAAGAAAATATTGCAAGTTGGGGGAGGGGGTAGTGAATATAAATAGGTGTTAGTGTATCTCCTGGGCTACAACTTGCCATATTCTGAAATCAGGGGTTGGTATCAAGGGATCATCCCAGGCTTCCCTCCTGAATAGAATGGCCTTCATCTCTAGGTAATGCTCCACCTACACTGACATTAGTGACTGTAAAACAGATTTTAAGGATTAAGCAGGACAGGTCAATCACAGACTGACACAGCTGAAGGGGTGACAGATATCGTCTAAGGTTTTTGCTGACAAATTATCCAGATTGCTTTTGTCTTTGGAAAATTAATGGGAATTTAGCTTAACTAAAGAGAGTGGTAAATACTCCCTTATTCCTTACTGGGATTACTGGGTTTAATCCTTCCTCAGGCTACTGAGTGCACCAGAGACAGAGTATGTTACTGGGAGACTGATGTTAATTCTCTGTTGTCTGTAAAGTGATGATAAAAATGCTATTGACTTCCTGATTGCTATGAAAACTTAATTAGTTAATATTTATAGTACCTTAGAACAGTGCCAGGCACATAATAAACGCTTTACCAGTGTTTGCTATTATTATTTCCCCCTCTGTAATTATATCTTTTCCTACTGATTTTTAAACAAGATATTTTAGTGCTATTTTATGCATTCTGTCACTGTTGTTAGAGCTTCATTGGTACATTTTGGTATTAAAAAACATTTCTTCCCTGCTTTTCAATTTCAGTTTCAACTTTTCTATTTTTGTTTTTGTATTTTCCAATTATCAATCCAGTTTTTGTATTTGTACCTATATGATCTTTGTCCTTTATTTTTTGGTTAGCCTGAAATATATCACTTTGTGTTAACCGTCCTCTTATAAACAACATGAGTTCAAGGGTTTTTTGTCTTCTTAAATGAAATCTGGGTAAATCTGACTTTGATAAGGGGGGTATAATTTATCACATTAATTTCATCTTTAAAATACTCGATCTTATTTCCAGGGTTTTGTTTTATGATTTCATGCACTTCCTTTCTCTTTCCTGTTTTGTATCTTTCGTTGTTTGACTTAGGTTTTCTTTATTTCTCTTATGACTCGGGAGATATACACTGTGTATCTCTTCTTCTAGGCTCCAGTGTGGAGTACAACCTGCACAATCATATGTAGCCACTTGCTCATATACATAGAGGAGGGAAACGTCTACACTTCCCATGAATTCACGTGGTCAGTGTAGACCAGGCATGTGGGGAGAAAGCCGGAGCATGAGGTGATCTCAGCAGTGGAATCAGCTTTGCCTCTGTTCCGGAGTTTCCTAGTGTTCATGGCTGCAGCATGACAGCCACCTCCTTCACTGTGCCAGTTGGGCCCTCACTGAGGGGCACAGGCTGGTCAGGGGATAAGCTGGTGACCTCCCAGGGCTGCTGGTGGATTTTAAACTCCATCTTCCTTGAATCTCCCACCACCATCTCACTTTTCTTCCCTAGATCTGCCTTCAAAATAGAATATCTTCATACGGGTCAAAGGCCAAAGACCCCCATTGGAAGGATGCACCTGTGCCTGCCTTACCAGTTTACACTACCCTAAGCTGCCCTTGGCTCTTATCTTCTACCATTTTAAACACAAGGCGTGGTGATGAGTTGTTTTTTTTTAAACTGTGCTAAATATGCATAAATTTACTATCTTAACCATTTCTAAGTATATAGTTCAATAGTGTCAAATATATTCACATTATCATGTAACCAACCTACAGAACTTTTTCATCATGCAAAACTGAAAATCTGTATCCATTACACAAGAACTCCCCATCAGCCTCCCCTTATCCCCTGGTAACTACCATTTCATTTTCTGTCTCTCTGATTTTAACTATTCTAAGTACCTCATATAAGTAGACTCATACAGTGTTTATCCTTTTTTGTGACTGGCTTATTTCATTTGCATAATGTCCTAAAAATTTGTCTATGGTACAGTATGCATCAGAATTTCCTTCCTTTCTTAGGTCTGAATAATGACGCATTGTATGTATATCCCACATTTTGTTCATCCATTTATCCATTCATGGATGCTTGGGTCTCTTTCACCTCTTGGTTGTTGTGAATAATGCCGCTATGAACATGAGTGTGCGTGCAGATATGGGCAGATGGACTTTGATGTGTGATGACGTAGCTTCAGCATGCACATGAATCCACACGGGGACCCTCTTAAAATGCAGATTTCAACTCAGGAAGTCTGGGGTGGGGCCCGGATGTTGCACTTCTGACAAGTTGTCCTTGTTCCTGCTCTATCGGCCACACTTTGAGCACCAAGACTGTGGACTCTCAACTTTGGCATCAGCTCTGAGTCTGAAACCTGGCTGTAACCCCAACAAGCTGTGGAAATGTAATCAACTTTCTTCATCTCCCTGAACCTGTTTTCTCTACATAATAGGAGAATAAATGCATCTCCTTCATTGGTCTGTTGTGAGGATTAAATGTCCTTACACGTGTTTGCCTTAGCACCGTGACAAGCACAGAGCAAGTGTGTGAGATTTGGTGGCTGTTTTCACTATTCTAGTACAAGTAAACCTGAGTTAGTACGTCTATGGGAGGAGATACTCCACCAGCACCCTTGCCGAGGCAATTATCTGGAGTGAAGATATTAAATCAGGGATTCCAGGTCAAGAAAAATAGCAGTGAGTGGCAGGAACTTGGTGAGGAGGGGTGAGGTCTTTGGAGACCACCTTGCTTGTCATCTGGCTCTCTGGGGATTCTCTTTTCCACACATAAAATGCCACCTCTCATTCCTGACCAATTGCCCACGCCCTCTTCAGGCCACCCCCTTCCCCCATTTATTTGTAAAGTCATCATGTCCAACAGGTGGGGCATTTCCTGGAATTGGTGACCTTGTGTCTTCTGGCTGAAACTTGGCCATCAGGAAATCCCCTCTGGACAGAGCTAGCTGCTGTCCTCAGACACTCAAATGGGTACCTGTGCTTGGGCGAGCAGAGGGAGGCCCAGCTGGAGGATGTTGTCTGAAGTAAATACCCCACTGGGCATGCGGAGTCCCTGGCAGGATCTATGCTCCCTCATGAGTTTTCATAAGTGCCCAAAGTTTAAGAGAAAAGGCAAGTGCCAGAGTCTCACAGGTCCCAGAACAGGGGTGACATGAGGGCTCAGGAGGGCCAGGATGGACCCCAGTGAGCCCCAGGCCAGCTGGACACAGGGACACACCCCACTGCTAGAGGCTGCATAAGCATTTCAGGTGTCCCTGCATGCTATTTGTCATAATATAAGACACTGAGGCTTAAAATGAGTAAATTTTTCAACTAGGAAGAAGAGGCGGCAGTGGGATTCCGTTCTTGGTGTGACTCAGCATTCGCCTTATAGAAATCCAAGTTGCATCACATAACAGCCCAGCCCTTCTCACCTTTGCCAATTTGGGAGGTCAAGGGTATTCACCATCACCACCACCACCGGAGAAATCAGAGGCTTTATTGCTTTCAGCATGTTTTCCCTCCATTTTCCTCAATGATCGCAGGGCTTAAAATAAAAAGCAAGTTATTCTCACAAAAAATTGTGGATCTTCAATGGACAACAGAGGCAATAGGTGACAGAGTTGCAAACACAGCAAAGATGTCCCCTGAATTTTCCAGATAATCACCATTAAAGATTCAGAAAATAGTTAAATAGATGGCCTCTTGTCCATGGATGTGCTGGTTTAAATGGCAGTTCTCTTCACCATACCAGACCCAATAAATTGGACTGGGGGAGTGATCCAGTGGTCACAAAGATTGAAATACTCTGCCCAAGAGAATTGATACGGACCTTGATTTAACCTACAAGTGCTAGGAGCATGTCCTCAGGTCTTTAGCCCCACTGAAAAACAGAGAAAACGACATTTAGACCTGGGAGAGCTTCCCAAAGGTGACTACTGGTGGTCACCTTCTTCTTGGTGGGGTCCCCCAACTGCAGCCCATGAAGAGTGGACAGAGAAAGCTTCCCAGCGGCTCCCCACTCCCTGGCCCCTGCCTTCAGGGAGGATGGAGGCAGGAATATGTCGGAAGAACCTTTCCTTCTCCCTGGGCACAGAGCCACAGCAGGCTCCGGAAAGCTGGGCAGGAACCAGCCCTTTGCACTGACTACTCCTTCTGGTTCCTGAACATTTCATTACAGTGAAAATAACCTCACGACAAACGAAGCAGCAGCTGGTTTTGAGATTCCAATCATCATCCGTCATTCCTCTATTCATTTCTTCAAGAATGTTTATGAATTATTAGGTTCACAGTCCCTCCACTGTACCCATGGGCATTACCACTAGTCATGGAAAGGAAGACAGGGAGAGGAGGAGGCTGTTGAGAAAGAAAGAGAAAAGGTTCTAGGTGCACGATTCTGGGTCCCTGAGTCAAACCCACAGTTTCTGGGACTATCTCCTGATGAGATGACGCAATGCCTGTGTGAACTAGTGCAGACTTTGGAGCCAGACTAGCTGAGTTTGAGTCTTGGCTCTGCCTTTTAAAGGCTCTGTGACCTTAGGCTAGGTATTTGACCTCTCTGTGTCTGTGTTTTCTGATCAAAGAAATGTGGATAATAACGGCGTCTACATCTCAGATCGTCATGATGATTAAATAAGTAAGCACACACCAAGTGCTCAACAGTTCCTGGCACAGGCTGTTGGACACATCTTAGGAATTATTATTTTTGTTATTGTTATGATGTGAGATCACTAGAAAAAAATGGTAGACACCACAGATGACAGAATGAGCTCTGCCTGGGGTGGTGTTCCTGGTGTGTGAAGTTCATGGTACAAGACACACCTTGAAAGGCAGGAGCGATCTGGCTGTTCCATCGAGCCTTGAAGGGAGTTTGGACGGGGAAGCACATGATAAGAAAATCCACCTAGAGGTGGAGATGAGCTAGGAACCCCCTGTCGGGTCAAGGTGGTGTTATGTTACCAGCTGCAGGACTGCCAGTGATCCCATCAGCAAAGCCAGTCAAAATCAGTCCTTAATCAAAGAAGGTACATGACGAAAGAACTTCATAGAGATGAAGCAAGTGGCAGTGTGCAGATGGAGGGGTCCATGTGAATGGGCCCCTGGAACAACATGATGTCGCATCCCAGAATAGCACTTACAACGTCATCAAAACTATTCTCAATTCTTTACGTTTATTAATCATTTGATCTTCACACCAACTTCATGAGAGAGGCTACGTTTATTCCCATGCTTAAAAGGTGGGTGCTGAGGCATAGAGAAGTTATATAACCTGTCCAAGGTCATACAGCCATTTTGTAACAGAGCTAGGATTTGAACTTGAGTCCTTGCTCTTAAACATTGTACCATACAACTAAGCTTTATTAAGGGTTACTGTGTGTCACATTGCAAGCCAGTTAATTCTCATAACAATCCTATGAGGTCAGTACTATTTTATTATTCCATTTTACAGAAAAGAAAACTAAGGCTCAGAGAGATTAAGTCACTTCTTCAAGGTCACATAGCTAGTAAGTGGCATAGCCTTGCACCCAGGCAGTCTGGCCCATGAGCTGGCTCTCATAGCGTCTGCCACAGAAAGCAATAGAATCAGCCAGGAGAAAAAGGACCAGAGGAGGAGAAAATACTCTCTAAGCATGCACAATCGAAAGAGCCCTAATACAACAGAAATACTGGGGTGGGGCCAGGCTGAATGCTGAGGAGAGGTCGTGAGACTGGACTAAAAGGTCCTTGGTTTTATGACTCAGGGTTCAAGTTTTAGGCAGAAAACACAATTTGAGAACACCATAATTTATATTTCTTGGCAAGATTCAAACTACAGGAACTCTGAGAAACTCAGATATAGTGATTTCTTCCACTTCTGGGTCCAGAGACTGGTCACACTCAAGAGTGTATGAATGCCAGGTCACACTCCTGAGGTGCCTCCATTTCATTTTCCTGACCCTTCAGTGGCTGTTTGCCCACCATCCCACAGGGCACAAGGCACTGATCCAGAATCTGCAGCCCTCAGTCCGACTCTAACATTTCAGGGCATGTAAGCAGAAAGTCGGAATGAAAAGAAGCCACTAACACTAACTGACAGTTTTCTGAAATGCTCTTTCAGATTCTTCGTGAGCACGGACTAGCAGAGGAGGACCCACTGAGGCAAAAACGAGCAGGTACGTAAACTCTATGCTTGGCAATGTCTTCCAGTGAGTCTGATCAAATGGCATTTGTTCTGGCCTTCCAGAACACTGTGATCCACATCATTCAGTCTCCAAGCATACCAGGGGTCCATTCTAGACATAATTACAAAGGCACTCCATTCTCTCCTCTGTCAAATGACGTTAAATGGATCTTAGCCACATTTTACAACCTTACCTTCCTCCCCCATCACCATTTCTCGGGTTCTAATGATTTCTCTCCTCAGCCACCCTCTGCCAGCATCAAAAAGTCTACTTCTGTTCTCTCAGCCCAGCAACCTTTCTTCCTGCCTTTTTTCCCCTAATATGTTCTCTCTCAGCACTTCATTTTGTGAATCAATTTAACCACTAGACTCAAGTCCTCTCCTCTACCTCCCACTCCAATTTTCCCACTAAACTAAAATAAAGTGGTCTGGAAAATACAGGGCTCTGCCTTTTGGAGAGGTGAAAGTGGGTAAGAGCTGTGAACACGCATCCCCTCATCCTTGGTGTCCCGCCCGCGTGTGAGAGCCTGGCGAGGTGTCATTGTGCATCTGCAGGTGAGACCTTCCCAGGACCAGATCATCCTGCTTCCCTCCCAGTACCCTTACAAATACACCAATTGGATTTCATTATTTCCCATCACAGAGTCCTTCATGGGCTCCCAGTTGCCTTGGTGATAAAATCCCACCACCTGCTGGAGCTTTATCAGGCCCTGCATGCTTTTCCCACTTGTTCTCTGGTCCTTTTCACATCGTGGGTGCCCCACCCATCATCCCCCTTTGCTTGTCTGGGGACTCTGACTTAAGTCTCAGTTCACATGGGCTCCCCCCATGTAAGGCTTCCCTTTGATGGATTCTCCAGACAGGGAGGGGCTGCTTTTCTCGGTTCCCATTGCCCTGGAGACATTCCCGTAGCAGTTCTTGTCCCTGCACATTGCAATTATATTGCTTCCTGTTTGTCATCCCCTCGACTTGAGTTCCCTTGAACCCTTCATCTGTGTAGCCTGGCATCTAGCCCAGTTTTTCAACAGATGAGTGAACAACTGAAGAGAGGACTTGCCTCTGTCATAGCTACAGCTCAGAGGATATGTTCCTATCGCTAAAAGTCAGCTGGCCTAGGGGCTGTACCAACTGCATAGAAGGTAAAACTTCTCAACCTGCAGCATTATGATTGAATCATTTTCCAGGCATGCTGAGACTTGGTCTATGCCGTCTTGTGGTCTAACAGAGACACTAGGCTGCCAGAGGGCAGGCTTGCCCTGAGGTCAGGACAGAGGTATCTGTTAGAGCCCCTCTCAGTGTAGCAATCAGACCCAGCTGTCACCCAGTGCTTGCAACGACCAGTTTATCAAGCTCAAAATATTCACTGGAAAGTCATCCACTGCTCATTTTTCCTTCCCTTCCCTCCCTTTCTGTTCCAGCCTGGTCTGATATCCCCTGGGCCCCTCACTCCCCCACTCTTCCCCTTTCCCTGAGGTAGTCTGAAGCACACATAGTACCTTCGGTGCTTTAAAATGAGCATCGTTACATCTACCCCATCCCTAGAGCCCTCCTGCACTCCATGACAGACACCAGGCCTGAGATGTCCCCATGAGGTATTTTGAACATCAAACCATTTTTGGCCGAGTTCTAGCTCCAGGTTTCTGCCCTGTTCTTCTAGGGCTCAGTCTGCCAGCTCTCTGGGGGCAGTTAGGGGCCGTGCAGTTGTGAGAGCAACGTCTTCCTGCACTTCTGAGCCTGGCTCTCTGTGATCTATCAGTTGGTCCTTGGGGAGGAAACCATTTCTGCATCTAAGGATTTGACATTCCAAAATTTTCCAGATGTACTTTCATTAAAAACAATCACGAGGCTGAAAAATCACCATGAAAACATGTCTTCCATTTATTATGCTTGGTTCTCTGTGCTCTTGGTCCTCTGCAGTCATTTTGGAAGTGTTAATGACTCAACTGCTCATCTGCAGAAGATAAATTGTCCTTTGGTAGTGTTACAAAACTACTGAAGAAAGACATAGCCATGGAAAGGCCTGGGCTCTGGGCTACAGATACCAGAATATAAGTTGCAATTAAAAGCTTTACTGTCCAGAAAAGCTATGAAAGAAAGCAATAGCAGGGGGACCTTCAGCAGTTACCAGTGGAGGTGTCTGTGTTCTGCTTGGTATATTAATTAAACGAGGTGATAGGATCAGGTTCTGATTTTCAAAAATATATTTCCTTTCACATACACATACATCTCCCTTTCTGGAGCCTTAATGTCAGAAAAGGATGAACAAAGCTTCCAAGAAAAAGAGAATTCTCAAAAGGAATTTCCTTTTGAGGCATTGGACCAAACTTTAAGGTTTGGGACAGAATCATCTTTAAAGGTAGGATGAATACTCATATTTATTCTCAGAGTACTCTGGACTTCTTCCTAAGTCACTTTGTGGTGTACAGCTTCACTGGGCCCAGGAGATATATGTGTAAATCACATGTATCTGCATCTCACATACATATCACACATAAGCACATATATATGCATATGCAAATATATATAATTTATATGCATATATATTATGTATGTGAGTTACTGGCTTATAGGGATGTTGAAAGGATTAAATAATATGTACATATTACTTTAAAAAATATTTTTAATAAAGTCTTCTCAGGGGTCAGTTGTTTTTGTTAAAAATTTTTTTTATTAAAAACAAAGACAATTGGTTTATTTATAAAAACAGTATTGCATTTCAAAGAGCCTAAAATACCCCTGGTACAGAGAAAGTCCCATGTAACTACTAAAGGCAGGGGGATGGATGCCATGATATAAGAGTTAGCATTTTAAGAAAATTATTTAAGAATGTTACTGGGGAAGAGAAGTCTGCACAAAAATGCAGAAGCCCAAGGCCAGTATGAGTGTGTTTCTGTCTGTTAGAGCAGAGCGGCTGCCAGGGAATAGAGAGAAATAAAAATGGGCTGAAGCATTCAGAATTATGTCCCACTTTGACCAGGAAATGGATTCTAGACCAGCTGAGAGCCTGGCATTGAGAAAGGACTGATGGAAGGGGCATCTGAAATGAAGATTAGTCTGATGGGTATGGCTGAATGACTTAGATGAAGAAGTCAGTGCTGGGCAACCAGCAATGAGGCCCAGCAGTGTGGACCATCATCACCTGGGCCTTGGAAAAAAAAAGGGCAGGAGTAATGGTATGTTTGGAAAAGGTATTTTGAGAGGATCGGAGGACTTGGAGACAGACTTGGCATGGAAGTGAAGGGCAGTAATGACCCATATGATACCCCCACAGAGCACAGACCTGGGTGATTTGGAGATGTGGAGGCCACAGGTAGAAACCAGGATGTATTTGGGAGTTCTGCCAAGATAGATAAGCTCAGAATTTAGTCTTAAGGGTATCTTCACAGGGGACTGAAAACAGACAGAACACTAGAAGTAACACAAATGTGTCTGCTCTGTTGATTTGTGAAATTCTCCCTGCCAGGTTTCTGAGCTTCATTGGAAATGTGTCTTGGGCTCTGAAAGTCCCTGCTGGTTTTTCTTTGGCTTCAAAAGGAATAGCTAGTAGGAGACAAATTTTTGAGAAAAGGAGGTCCCGGATGCCCTAACCCTGTGATGGAGGTGCTGACGTTGTCACATCCACGTAATGAGAGCAAGGTCCTGCCACGTTGGGTTGCTGGCTGCAGTGTGCAAATCCTGGCCTTTCTCCAGACCTGGCAGCTGGGATGAGCTGCCCCTTTTTGATCTGGACCCAGGAAATGTGCATTTTCCAGGTTGAGGAATAGATTTTGGGGGTTTTGTGGCTTTAATGTTTCTTGTGGTTTCATGGCATTTAGTGCTCGGAGCAGGCAGTGGAGGTAGTAGAGTAAGACGAGAAGGCTGGGGATGTTCTTAGCCTAGTGTTTGGGTTCATTTTTAGGGTTGACCTTTAACATCAAGGCGCTTTTTTCTTTTAGTTTCTGATTAGTGTTGTTTGTTCATTGCTTCGTGATCTCAAAGGTGAGACCAGATTGGAACGCCATTTGTTTATCTTGACCTACCAGCAGACATCTGCCTAGAATATTATCATTTATTATAGTCAGTGTTATTATTTCTACCTGCTCTTTCAGAATGGCTACTATATGCCAGATAATTTGCTGGGCATCTTCATTTATTATCCAAACTCTTTAACAACAATTCTGCAGAGAGAATATTACCCTCAGTTTACAGATGAGCAAAGTGTGGCTCACTGAGGTTGCATAGCCTGCCCAGGGAAGAAGACATTCCACCCCAACTCTCTCTGGCTCCAGAGGCCAGGCTCCCAGTTAAAAGTCACGATTTTCAATATGTGTTTCTGGCTCTTGCATGTGAGGGCCCATTCCATGATTCCTGAGGCAGTCTTGTCAAGTAAGGGACACTGGCACCAGTGTCTCCATCTTACTAGGAAAACAACTTTATGTGGGGCTGACTTTGATGGTTTGGGTATGTGATGAGTTAGTAGAATTGATTCTTTTCTCCAGGCTTCACAGCCCATTATTTTATGATACAATGCTTCCTGCCCTCTCCTCCATTCACACCTACCAGGTAAGCCATAGCCTGGGATTCTGGCAGTTTTCTCCTGTGTGGACAAATGTTTCTAAAACCTAAAGGGAGAACAGGATCCTGTGACCGTGTGCTGACACTGGTACAATAGGATACGGATGATGTAGCCAAATGGCTACCTACCAGAACATGTCCAGATACAGGCAGAAGAGCAGGTATTTTTCAATTTTTACTTGCTGTAGGTCTAAGGGGAGAAGCAAGGGAGAAATCTTCAGTGATAAAGAAGCATTGTCCCCTTTGGCCAAGGGAAAACTGCACCAACTTATTTTTCCCGGATGAAGTCAGCAGGCTTCACTCTCTTGCAGGCGGGGATTGATTTTTGCATCTACTTAGGCTCTGACTTCTGAGAAGCCATAATTCCCATTAGGGTTTCCAGGCAAAAATAGTAGTGTTTGCTTAAACAGCTGTGATTAATACCCAGAACTACTTGTCGAAGTCTGTGGCCAACTTTCCAGAAATGTCTCTTAAGATAAGTGCTGTGTGGTGGCAGGCAGTGATCTATGGGAAAGGAGAGGGGAAATCCTTGTTGGTTCGTGCCTCCAGGGCCTGTGGATGGGCCTCCCTCTGTCTGTGACACTGGTGACACCTGGGATGTGCGACCTTCCACTCGGGGCATTGGTGAGTAAGAAAAATTCAAACAAACATGAAGGCAAAGGACCCTGAGAGAAAGAAAACATATTAAACCATCTAGAATGAGATGGTCCCAGGCAGCAGAGGAGCATGGGAGAGTCTCTAAAATACACACTCACTCAGAGTTGGGGAAATGTCCTCTGTTCCTCCTGGGTCCCATATAGCCCTGGGCCTTACTTTCCCAAGTGCTCAAGTCCTCGGGTTTTGGGAGAGGTAAAGTCGAAAGGATTCAGCATTTCTACTGCAAACCGTGGGCCTGTCTGAGGATTGTGAGCAGAGGGTGCCTCTGATCCCACCTATGTGCAGATCATGCTGACACCTGAGCATCTGAGCTACTTCCCGAAAACTCTGACCCTTGCCCAAGGGCACCTCAAGGACAGAAGGTTCAGAGGCAGTACATGTTCTGCTTGCCATAAAACCATGACATTCCTGCTAGGAAGGAATGATCCAGATCAGGAGGGGCTTCTTTTTGGTATTCCTCAAACAAGCCAAGGAAGTTGCTCTCTTAGGGCCTTCATGGTCGTTTCTCTCCTTAGAGAGATATTCCCTGACTATCTGCATGGCTGTTCCCTCACTTCATTCGTGCCTTTGCTCAAAACTTACCGCTTTAGGAAGGTCTTTTCTACAGTCAAAACAAACCAGACTGAAATACTCCACCCCATTCTGCCTGCCACTCTGCTTCCTTGCCCCGCTTTAGTTTTCTCCATGGACTTCGGAACTGCCTGACCTCGAAGTCTGACCTTACTGGTCGCCTCCCACATGAGGTTGGAGACCCGTGGAGTAGAGCTTGCTTCTGATTTACCCTGTGTGCCCAGCACCTCACGCAGTGCTTGGAAAGTAGTACAGGTCTTTTGAAATAGTAAATTAGCTTATAAATCAATAAATCAAGGAACAAACAAATAAACCTAGCAAGGCTTACCGTCTAAATGGATCAGTGTCTATGGCAATGGGTCACAACGTATTTTTTTCTCAATGTGAATTTCTAAGACATTTATTATGCTGAATCAAATTGAACAAAGTATTAGATAATTCTTCCATTTATTATTAATAATTTTGCCTTTGAATTTGATTTTATTTTAAAATTAACTTTGGGAATTGCCATACCAAGTTCTAAAGACATACTTAGTTATAATGCCTTTTATTTCTTATAGTACCTTAAGGTTTACAAATGGTCACTTTCATTATCTTCTTCCATTTGAGTGGTGGAAGGGTATGCTTAAAAGAAACTGCAGTCAGGAAAACATGCTATCAAATCCCATTTCTAACATTTGCTATTTGTGTGGCTTCAGCCTTTTGAACCTCGGCTTTGTCATCCGCAAAATGGGGGTATGTGTACTGTTCTCATGGCCCAGAACTGGCCAGACAGTGAATAAATGGTATCTGCAATTAATACTTATTTTTATAATCACCTTTGATCCATCTAATATCCCTGAAGAAAGAGGTGAGCACACTGCTTGGAGCCTGCCTGGTTGTTTGTTTCCATAGGAACAGCCCTGGGAGGTATGTGAAAACAAAAAGCAAAGCAAAAGCAGAAAAAAAACCAAAAAAACAAAACAAAATTAGGTGCTAATATTGGCTTTTCAGGGTAACCATTTTGGTGTCTTCACTTGGATTAGAACATTGGACCTCAAACCTGCTTGATCACCAGAATCACCAGTGGGAACTGAAAAAAATACAGATTTCTGGGCCTAATCCATAAAGATTTTACTTTGGCACTCCTGGGTTGAGTTTGCAAAATCTCTCTGTGTGTGTAGAATTACCTAGATGTGTCTAATCATCAGTTAAGGGCAGGGGCCCCTGGAAAGGATGATTTCTAAGGGCAAGCCCATAGCTTTCAGAAGTGCTATGATATTTTTGAGCCTGCTTTGAAGAATTGACTATTTTCATGGAGAAGACATTTCCTTCTCTATTAAAGGTTCCCATCCTTACCAGTCCCCAGGGATAAATGACACTCAGGCAGAGGGTTATTCTGAAACTCCCTTAGAAGCTGTTGAAAAACGTAAAAGGTGGATGAAGGAAAGAGGACCTTCAAGGCTGACACTTTAACGAATAGCTGCATAAATCCCATAGACTAGAACTAAGTCAAGTCATAGGAACTCTCGTCTTAGTGTCTTGAGCTTTTGGCTTGGCTCCTTGTGAGATTTCACTGGAAGGACTGGCTTGGTTTCAGTGGGGAATGATGACACTGATGAATCATCCTTTGCTTTCCAGGCATATACACTTGCTCTACAATTATGTCTAAAAAGAGCACAGAGAGGTGGGCTTAGGGCAAGACGATAGAAATGGTCCCCTGGCAGTCACTGATGTTATGCTGGAATCAGACCCTGGGATGCAACAATGCCCATGATAAAGTGGCGATTCAGGACTGTTAATGACCTCACTCATCTAAAAAGCAGCTGCCGTCCAGGAAATCCTGTTTACATTCACGGGAGGAGAGTAGATTGACCAGGGCAGAGAGGATCCTGGAGCTGGTGAATCTCCTGGAGAATATAAACATTGCTGCATTACTTTTCAGAAAAAAGAATGTGCGCTAAGACAGACCTTGTACATATTATGCAGCCGCCCTCCTTGCAAATGTTCCCAGAGGCAACGTACTGTTTGTAAAGTTAAGATCACACAAGTTAAGATTAGCAGTTCTTCCAGGAAGCCCGCTGTCATCACAGAACCATTTGAGAATCAGAAAGAAAACAGGAAATTTGAGGCAACGCCATGATAGCATGACAGACTGTGATTCCACATTGGGTTTTAAAACTCACTTTGTTCTACTTATAAATACATTTTTATAAGGAGGAAACATACCTTAAGATGTATTCTTAAATTAAGGAAATGTGCAAACTTTTTTTTTAAGTTTAAGTTAATTACAAGTTAAATGATGCCAAAATGAAGTAATTCTCAACAAAGTTAATTGTAAAACCAACCTCTAAGACAAGCATAGTTTATAACTCTAAATGAAGAAATATTACAGCTTTCTGCAATAAACATTTATCAATTGGAGCTTCGCATAATAAACTCCCTGTATTTTAGTGCTTCAAGTCAATATTCCTTGGGAAATTTAAAACAAATCTTGTAATGTTATGGGAAAATTCTTTGCTCTTTTAGAAAACAGACATAGAATTTTAATTTTATGGTAAAATATACATCATACTTCCAGATTTGACTTAAGATTTAAAGTAATAGTTTTTCAAGTATTCACTAATCTTTTCCTTATTTGACTGACAAGATAAGCCACAACTTGTCTTCTCATTGCATCTGTATTAAAAATTCTATTCTTCGAAGGGTCTTCATTAGCTATGAACCTAGCCCATGGCTTTTGCTCCAGTTATGTATTTCAGCCATGAATGAGCCAAAGATTCTGGCAGAGACAGAGAATTGAATCTGTGATTCAACACAGTTCCAGGCTTAACAAGTTAAGTCCTAGGTTTAAGGCATGTATTTATTATGTGGTGTGCTCTATGCCAAATGGAGTGAATAAGGTCATAAGAAGTGAAAGAAACAGTCCGTGCCCTTGAGAAGCTTACAGTTAGTGGACCAGACATGATGTAATACAGGAAACTAGGAGGGTACTCCAATATGTACACTGTCTGGCTTGCCTACAGTGGGTGTGTGTTGGAAAGCAGATTCATCTAGAATGCCAGCCAGTCAACCAACCTGGAGACAATTTGTAAAAGCAATAAAGTGCTGAAGATATCTTTTATTTTACTTTAAAATTTGCCAATTTTGCTTTTGTTGAGTACCTGCAATGTTCTGAATACCAGAAATACAGCATAAGGAAAAAGAGCCCGTATTGTGAACATAGGCTAAGAGCAAAAGGAATTAACTAGATGACTTTTCATGTCATGCATACCTCAGCTCTCAAAACACAGACATGTCAGTTGAATTGTGTTGGAAACACACTGACTCATTCCCGCGAGTCAGGGCTATGCACTTATTGACCAGACTGTCACCAAGGCCTCCCTGATTCTGTCTCTTAAAATCCATTCTCCACACAGAAGTCCTTGGCCTTGGACACCAAGGAGTGGGGTGTGGGAATGGAGAGAAAGGACAAGTCCTCGGTTTAGCCTTTGAGTCCTTCAAATGGCCAGAGGCCACCACACTGGGACCAGACAGATTGGCTGCCTTTCTCCTTAAATAGTGAAGTCATAGCACCACGAAGGCGGCTGCTGGTGGTGAAGTCGACCAACTCTTCTTTTTCTCTAAAAAGGTTCATTAGAAATTCTTAAAGGCTGATGTGCCCAGCATCCGCATGTTTCCTGTCAATATCTGAAAGCGCTGAAATGTCCGTCACATCCCCTCTCTGTTGCTCATGGGAGATCTCACGGCCTTCGTGTGCTTTCATTGTAGTTGCTACGAATAGTGCAGCAGCTGAAGAGCACACTGTTGATACTGAGATCGGCTTTGAAAACACCTCCTTCCTGGAGCCTCCGAAAGCTCACTTGAACAGCCTCAGTTTTCCTCTTCAAGGGAATAGCGCTGGCCAAGCCACTCACATTTTGAGCGTAGCAGTGACAACAGGTGAGTAAAAGATCCATTGCTTTAGAATGGAAGATTGGGCTTATCAGGAGTAAGGCTGTCTGAGCTCTTTACTATTAGAGCAAATTATACTTAGTAGGTAAGTAAAATGACCCTACAGGCCTAATGCATGACTTTATGACGTCACAGCTTACCAGCGCGAAGCACCTATTGGCAAACTCTTCAGCCAGTTTCCTTAGTTTGACTGGTGGCCAAGTATTTGCTTGGGGCTTTGTGTGTTGGGTTTCACGAAGTGGCTCCAAGATGCTGTGGGGTCCATCATGACAGACTACTCAGTCCTCTTCCCCTGGGCTGTCCCTTGGTACAGCAGGACTGCTTAAATTCATAAAAAACAAGTTCCCTTCTCTTTGGCACCATAGGTCAGAAAATAGAGACCAGGTACATGTCTGAATCAGAAGCAAGGCATGAAACAGAAAGCCCCCCGCAATGGGACTGGACTTTCTGGCCACTGACTCCCTTTCCAGATCATGATAGCTTTTCCATTTCCCAGGGGACTATGACCTGGGAAGCTATGAGATGGGACTGCCCCTTGTCCTAAAAAAGGCTACTGCTTTGTAAACTGCAAAGCACCGACAGATGTTGGGTGTGTTGGGTTTTCTGATTCTAAAATGGAGGCAGAATAAACTTCTCATTTTTAAAAACCATTTTAAGTTCTCACATTTTAGTCTATCACAATATCAGTCTCTGCATCTTAATTTTTGATTCTCAGTATATACTACTTGAACCTGGAATGGCTGTCTTAAAGTTCCCTTTAGATGTCCCTGCCTACAAAATTCTCCACTAGCATTAATATCCTTGAGTTAGTGGTTCTTTAAAACCTCAGTAGTGATATGCCATCATTTCTGCTGTATTCTATTGGTCACATAGACCAACTCCAGTACAATATGAGCAGGAAATACTAAAGGATGTGTATACCTAGAGGCAGGGAAGGGCAGGACCCATCTTGGAGGCTGGCTACCACACACTCTGTGTCCAGGAAGTGAGAGTGGTCACCTTCTAGATGTCCCTGCCTAATCGCATGGCAATGCCAACAGAATTGCGTGACTCTCATGTGGTACTATTGAACTTCCCAGAAGGGCGATATGAAGTTGAGCTGGGATTTCATACGAGTATAAATCCTTAACAGTCTACAAGTGCTTGTCTATATACTTGTCTATAATTCTGTAAGTGGTGCCAACCTTCTCTCTCCTCAACTGTCTGCTTGGTGATAGTCTGCAGACCCAGTGGAAATGAAATCTGGTGCTCTGGTGAGACAGGCTATAAATGGCCTCAGGAAAAGTGCCTTCACAGTATCACTTGTCCAGAGCATGATAGCTCCCTGACAGGGCATCGTTGCAGTTGCCTTAAAGGACTGCCTTCAAAGGGACCTTTTTGCCAGCTCCAAGGAGGTAAGCAACCGCTCATTAAATGTTTGTTTGTTGAGCGTCTATTTGATATCAGCTCAAGCAAATATTTCTCTGTCTTGTGTGTACTCCAATGTTAACGTGAGATTTTTAAATATTTCCCTGTGCTTTTCAGCAGATGTTACCCTGAGAATGTCAGTCAGACTCGATGTGGGCTTTCAAGAAGAGCTCAGGAACTCTTCCTCTGCCCTCTATAGGTCCTACAAGACTGACTTGGAGACAGCGGTAGGTTTTGGCTTTAGGAGCTAAACTCTCTAGGCTGAATGGAATCTATTGCATTCATAGTGGATAGTTTGCTTGGATCTGCCAGAATTTATGAATGTGAATGTCAAAATTATCCTTATGCAACTAGGATGATGAATTTAAAAATGCTCAAAATCAGAGTGTTCAGAGGATGACATGACATCATCCTGACCTATCGGTGGAACTTCTTCCCAAGGTAGAATTGATTCAGATAAGATTTGTTTTCATCAATTCACTGAAACCTATTCAAAGTCCCAAGATCTGGTCTAGAATCACCAGATGGTACATTTCTCTCCACCTTTACACACCACATGGATGAAACCCCTAACATCTTTTGGGAAGACTAGCCCAAGGCTGACACAGAAGGTCCCAAACCACTGTACACTAGAGGTCAATGAGCATTCACAACTAAAAGATTTAAGTTTACTCATGTAAAAATAGAAAATATTCCCTGAGTATTAACTGTGTGCCAGACACTATCCTAAGTGCTTCACATTGAATTAGTTCACCTAAACCTATGCTTGAGTGAACTCACTTGGCATCGAGCTTCCCAACTGGTGTGACATAAATTATAACATGTGGGCAGAGATAATGACTTCCCTTAAGTCTCTGGACAGCTGAGCCCCTGCCCTCAGGCCAGGATCAGCCTCCCACATACCCCAGTGTATCACACAAATAGTACCATTTTCCATGGGTGCCATGAGGAAGAGCTGATACAGAAGAGCTCTTGGACATCTGGCCTGTAATAGTTCTGTACAGCATGAGAATCTTACACACACACATACACACACACACACACAATTATTTTTTGACAGAAGACAGAGTTACCTATTAATCTCTGGATCTCACCCATCCAGATACCTGACACCAGGCTTCGCATATTGTATCTGCTCTGTAAATGTGACTTGAACCAGTTGAACCTCCTGAGGGGTTAGTATTCAGAGAAACAAAGTGGAGTAATTACACACCACATGGATGAAACCCCTAACATCTTTTGGGAAGACTAGCCCAAGGCTGACACAGAAGGTCCCAAACCACTGTACACTAGAGGTCAATGAGCATTCACAACTAAAAGATTTAAGTTTACTCATGTAAAAATAGAAAATATTCCCTGAGTATTAACTGTGTGCCAGACACTATCCTAAGTGCTTCACATTGAATTAGTTCACCTAAACCTATGCTTGAGTGAACTCACTTGGCATCGAGCTTCCCAACTGGTGTGACATAAATTATAACATGTGGGCAGAGATAATGACTTCCCTTAAGTCTCTGGACAGCTGAGCCCCTGCCCTCAGGCCAGGATCAGCCTCCCACATACCCCAGTGTATCACACAAATAGTACCATTTTCCATGGGTGCCATGAGGAAGAGCTGATACAGAAGAGCTCTTGGACATCTGGCCTGTAATAGTTCTGTACAGCATGAGAATCTTACACACACACATACACACACACACACACAATTATTTTTTGACAGAAGACAGAGTTACCTATTAATCTCTGGATCTCACCCATCCAGATACCTGACACCAGGCTTCGCATATTGTATCTGCTCTGTAAATGTGACTTGAACCAGTTGAACCTCCTGAGGGGTTAGTATTCAGAGAAACAAAGTGGAGTAAAGACATCAGCAAAAACTACATTGGTTCAACCGAGCTGCAATATGTTAAGTGAGGGATCAGGCAGCATAGCAGCCATGACAATGCACACAGCAGGTCTCCAACTACAGGAGATGAGATTGCTCAAGGGCTCTACCTGCTGCCTCTGAAATCCATGGCTGTGTTCGCTGCTCACAGGAGGTCTGTGTCGGGCTGACCTGGGCCTCATTAAAGGCGCTGCTGATCCTTCTCAGTTTCAGCCTAGGTTGATTTCACCCAACCTTTCTGCTTTCTTTCACTTGGAGTCTAGTGGCTCTCCCTGCCTTCCCTACTGCCTCCCCATTTTCCCTTCTAGGCATTGCCTGGAGTAAACATTTTGTATATTTAATCCAGTGTTTGCTCCTTGGAGAAGCCACACCAACATGAGTGGATAGGAATTGCTTCTTCAAAGATCTGCCAATACGATTGCTAACAAAATACACAGGGAAAGCATTAATTTAGGGTGATAAGGAATATGTGCTCTTTTACCCTGTTTCAAATCTTTGACGCTCCTCTCACTGGACGTTGATACGTAACATTTGTCTTGCTTTATTTTCCAGTTCCGAAAAGGTTACAGTATTTTACCAGGCTTCAAATTGGTGACTGTGACAGAGTTCAGGTAAGAATGCCGTAATTGGGTCATTTCTATCCAATGGGAGAGACCAATATGTTAGCAGAGAAAAAGCCCTTTGGAGGGACATCATCTGGGACGTTCAAGAGGAGCAGTTTGATAGAGGTGCAGGCAATGCCAGATTGCTGGGACTTAGAGGGGAAGGAAATACTGAGAACTGAGCTCACTCTTTAGAGATGTACTTAAGGAGAAGGAAGGTGAGAAGACCTGTGATCATTCTGCACATGCAAGAATTTTGCAGACAAAGATATGGGCTGAGTTTGCAGTCTAGAGAGTTCAAAATATACAAATGAAATAATGTCATGCAACAATGCCATTATTCAGGAAAAGTTGGCTAACAAACCACAACCACAGAGTTGCATGCTGCTGTGTGACTGGTGCCCCTGTATGACAGTTAGGTACCCTGGCAGCCCCGAGTGGGTTTTCACGGTGTTTCAAAGTTGCAATTTTAAAAATTAAGAACATCTACAGAAACATGCAAGATTTTGGCTTCCCTTGAAATTTAGTATATGTAGTAACCTTGGGTCAGCACAGCTGTATGACACCAGTCTCTGCATTTTGACTGCTACTGTATGACCAGATTATGTGATTCAGTTCATTCATCTCCTTCTGGCTATTTCTCATTTATGTTACCCATCAGTGGACATTTGAGGGTGCAAAGCCTGCCTCAGGGTTTCAACTAGAGCTTGAAAAGCAGGTTGATTTCAGTAAACCCTTGAAGATACAAGTTCCCAAGCTGTTCCTGCCATTCTGTTTTCCCATGCAAATAAACCAGAAAGAGCTAGACTCTTCCAGGTCAGTTACTGCTTTACTGAACTGAGTGGTCTCCACCCAGGCCCGGAAGTGTGGTTGTGGACTATGAGATCAAGACTATGACACCATCGCTTGAATTAATGCATAGAGCGAATGAGCAAGTGGGAAAGAACCTCAATCACACCTACAAAGTGGATGACAATTCCTTTCATGTAGTTAATAATAGTAAGTTGGACGTCGCTACATTTTCCAATACATAGATTCTACTTAGATATGGTAATGGTGTTAATCCTATGCTTAAACTGGGAAATTACAATGTCCTCTGTGGACACTCTTCCATTCCTGGCATAGTGGTTTATGTTTAAGTTAGCTGGTGTGGCTTTTTCCTAAGCAAATGTGCAATTTTCCTCCAGATTATTTGAAATATTGAAAATAGCTTTGGAATGTCCCTTACCACCACTGAGGACTCTTAAGTGTGTAAAGTCCCCAAGCTGGAAACCATCTACCTGGGACCTGACAGGCTGAGTCTTTGGGCCTCAGGTACCAGTGGCCTGGGAATGGGGCGAGGAAGCACAGCCTTGTCCTTCACAGCACCCCTGATGCTGGGGAAACCTCGTGACAGGTCTTGGGGTTGTGGTGTCTGGTGAGTGGCACCAATCACATTTAATTGGTGTGGGGTCCTGACACCTTTTTCTTTGGTTTTTCTAGATGAAACTAAGTTGTTTGCCGAGCCAAAAACCATCCTGGAAGGGGACACGGTAACTGTGGTATGTGAAAATGAAATTTTGTCCACCAATGTGTCCTGGTATGATGTCAAAATGGGCTCCAAAATCCAGAATAGCAGCAGATTCTCAGTTAACACCTCCATGCTCAACAACATGACGTCAGTGTCGCACCTCATCATTTACAACGTCACTCGGGGTGATGCAGGTGGGTTTCAATCCAGTAACAGGTGGGTACGAGGAAAGGAATGAAGGGCTCATAGAGAAGCAAATCATACAATAGGTATGTAGTGTTTTTCTCTTCAAGAGGAAGTCACCAGGCTCAACTTGTCAAGGTTGAAAATTAATCCCATGGCATATGAGTCAAGCAAATGTAGCCTTGGGAGACAAATACAGTTTTCCACGTTTACTGAGACGTCTGAATTGGAACCTGAGACAAAAAGAAGACTTTTGTTTTTAATCAAAAAAATTTAAAACAGCTCTTTTGAGGAAGAATTGACATATAATAAGTTGTACAAATTTAAGTACTGTTTAATAGGGTTTGACTTATTAAATGTACACACCCGTAAAATGGTCACCGTAATCAGAATAGCAAATATATCTATCATGCCCTCCCCAATTTTCCTGTGCTCCATTGTAATCCTTCCCACCTGTCCTTCCTCACTCCCCCTCTCCAGAAACCACAGAAGCATAAGTCTTAAATCTAACATTGTAGAATTTAGTAATCTCACTGTAACCCAGATGCCAACAGGGCCATCTCTTTTTCTCTGAATGAGAAGCTGAGCTGCAGACACATGGATCTTATCACAGCTTTGTTGATTCTGATTTTGCCACAAAGTTAAATAGTATGCCAAAATGACCCACAATCTTCTGATTCTCCAAGGCTCTCCAATTTTTCCTTTCTACCTCTTCCATTTCCATATATTTTTCTTACTAGCAAAGACTGGGATTTCTGTTTCCTTAGAGCATCTCTCTATTCTTTACCTTGTAGCATCAGAAATATCTGCACTGACCTTCTGTATTTCCCAAATGTCCCTTTAGGGTCATTTAGATTCAGTCTCAGATGCTTTTGAAATTGATGTTCCATGGTGTACTGCATTTATTATAAATAAAAAATAAAAGGAATAATAAATGCTTTTGTGTATTTTGTGCAGGTGAATATATCTGCAAGCTGACGCTAGATATTTTTGAATACTGGGCCAAAATAAAAATAGATGTTAAACCCATGCACATCTCGGCAAAGGAAGAAACAAAGGTGATGTGTGACAACAATCCTGTGTTTTTGAACTGCTGCAGTGTGACTAATGTTAGTTGGAGTGCAATAGAATGGAAGCAGGAGGGGAAAATAAGCATCCCAGGTAAGAAGGTTAGATGCCCTTTTGCAAGTAGGATTTTCCTCCTTGGTCAAATAAAATTGGGAGATGTTGTGGGTGAGAGGGGTAATATCAGATGGCTGTTTTTTCCCAGACTTCAGACTGTGAAAAAGTAATAAGTTTGATGCTAGCTCCAGCTTAGCCATTCTAGAGCAAAATTCTAAAAATATATGCATACAAGCATCATACTTGGGTTCTAGACAAGATTCTGGTAGAGAAGACTCAAGAAGGAGTGACCTAATGTCTTAGGTCCACAGCATCTCCTGTCTACAAAAAAGCTTGTCCCCACCTTCCTTTCCTTCCCATCTTCAGCAAAGAGGTAAGAATGAGATCATTGGCTTTGCTCTGGATTCTGGCTTGGAAATTCTCATTTCTGTGTCTGTTCTCTTCATGTCTGTGCTTCTCATTTCCCTGCTTCTGCATCCTTACTTTCTTCTATATTATCTAATTCTATGTCTCTCTCTCTCTCTCTTTTTTTTTATCGTTCTGTATAGGCCTGTTTGGGTCTCAGCTGTTTCCTGTCAGTTTCTGACCCTGTTTACTTTCATTTTAGATCTGAACTCTTCCTTGATGTTCCCTACCCTCCAGTTGATACTGATGAATGATAATAATAATAAATGAAAATAGCAATACTGACTCTTTTGTATAGTAGTTTATGTTGAACTAACTTAAACAAAATATGTTCTTACATTTATATATTCCATACTTAAATGTGACCAAAATTTGAAGCTGGTATTTTTGCCTCCAGTTTGCAAATAAGGAAATTGAGGCCCATATTAAATCACTTATTCAAGCTTGTCACAATGGGAAAAGAAAAGAAAGAATTGGGATTCACCTCAGGTGTAGTTTTCATAAGACCAGTGTTTGTCTTAGCCAAACTCTATTACCTACGCCTCAGAAGCCTGTGCAGGAGTAATCTGATCTGGCAGAGTGTGTGCTGTTTTCTGTCAAGAAACCTCGTGTAATAAGATCCAACCCTTCCCTTAAGAAATGACAGTACTATGTGTTTATCTGTAAACGAAAACAAAGTCAATAAAGTAAATGTGGCTTTACCTGTGAAAGACGTTAGTGTGGCAAGGCTTTATGTTACACAGTCTTTGCTATCAGACTGTAGTACATTATAAAAACATAAAATAATAATTAAATAGCATGTACCTTTTCCTGAGCACATCTACTTGCCAAGCACATGTCACCTGCAGCATTTGTATTCTACTCTGAAGTGCTCTGAAGAATGGGAAAAGCCTCTAGTCACTGCTGAAAACGTTGACACATGGTACATTTAGTCACTTCCCTGATTTTTAAGGAAGAGGAAGCGTAGGCATCCTGCAGAAACTGCCAGATGGGAGAAAGATCTCGCAAATTTCCCGTGGTTCTGACTTACAAGCTTTCGCAGAGGTGAAAGACCTCGCCCTCTGGCAAAGGATCCAGGAAGTCTGCGGCGCAGATGCTCAGGGACCTCTCTGGGGCCCCCGCTCCTTCAGACATTCCTAGTGCCCAGTGCTCTGAACCGACTGCAGAACAATGGATTTCCGGCCACAGGGCTGGCTGCCCCAGGACTCGCCACAGTCCTTCTCCGATGAATTCAGCCTCTGCTCTCGCACGCTGCCCTTCCTCCTCCGCCCCCTGCTGCCCCCTCGTGGAAGCTCTCTCTCCAAATCCCACAAGTTCTTCAGCACCTGTTCGTCCAGGCCAGTAGGATGCAGTCCGGCAAATAATTCACCCCAAAGCACAAACTGAATGTATATCCTCCTTTCAGAATCAGATACGTTTCATTTTCAAAACACTTCTGGGTGGAGATAAGACAGAAAGGAAGTGATTAGTGATGGGGATATTTTTAGCTTTAAGAGGGGGTAGTCTCTTTTGAATAGAGAGGATTTTCTGGTGTTTTCAAATCCTCAGGCACCAACTAATGATATAAATGGTGATGGTAGCAGAAGTAACAATAGGGGTACTGAGTTCCCGTGATTAGTGCCGCTTCTAGTCGGTTTGTATCTAAGACTAGCTTTGCCTTTGTAGGAACAGACTGACAAGTTGGGGAACTTAAGGGCATCAGAGTTTGTAGCCTCGTCCAAGCTCTTCCTGTGCTGTGTGATGATAGAAAAACTAACGGAGCCTTAATTCCCTCTTTGTCCACGCACTGGAACAGTTCCCAAATGAACTGATAAAACTTCTTGCACCTGCCTGACGCACTACCCTGGGCCCACTGTCGTGTATTCATAAAACGCTTGAATCTTTGCTAGACATTGTCGGCTCACTGCTGGCTGACTGTCAAGGCTGTGATAATGTGGACCAGCGCTGAGCGACCTGTAGGGAGAATAGCCTCAAACTCTACCACCTCCCTTCCTGGTTGGATCTTCTCTTCCCAATTGCCCCACCTAGGTTTTCAAGTGTATGTTAGTATATGCCCTTGTGCGGTGTCTGAAATGTTATGTTTGCAGCCAAACAGGGCATAAGTAAGAGTAAAGGAAGTGAGACTAGCTGTTTTTCTTTGTTGAGTAGAACTCAGGCTTGTGGCTTTCAAGTCACTTTATAAAGTGCCACTGGAAGCAGGCCTGCCTCGGGGGCTGAGGTGGGGTGGAAGCAGAGACGCAATTAGAAGCAGTCCTGGCAGAGGCATTCTCCATGGCCGCATCTGAGGGTCACCCAATTGTATTTTTTAAGAAACAGCTGTCAGGTCTCTAGCCTAGAGCAGCTAAGTCAGAATCTCTGGCTTAGGGATCCAGGCAGTGTCATATTGTCTACAATTCCACGGATCACATTGGGCAGAGGGAGTGAGAGCCGTGGACTTAGTCCCTCCCTCTGCACGTGAGCGCAGGGAGACTTCCCGGGAGTTGCCGAGGGTCTCCCTGATGGTGGCAAAGGGCTGCTCCCCGTCCTCACCTCCTGCTCCTCAGTGTCCCTGCGTGTGCTCCTAACCATGCCATAGACACATCCGATTTTAAACAGTGACTCTTCTACTTGTGGGAATGCCCACAAAATTGGGTAAAAGACAAAGAAAGAATCTGAGCCAGGTCTTCTGCCCTGGAAAAAAATTAGCCTTGCAACCTGTGCTTTGCGTACAAGAGTATGCAGTCCCCAAAAGCTGCAGTCCCAGCTGTGCCACGTGCCCTCCTGTGGACACACTCCGACTTCCAGACCTTCATCTATTAAACAGGGATAATGGAATTGAAAACATTGAACCTGCCACAGTAACTGTTTTCTGATAATAGATGATAGCTTTAAAAACAATCCCCTCATTTAATTCATAGGTGAGACATCTCCATTGGATATTATCTAATCTTGAGCAGCAAATTTGTAATTGCATGCCATGTCACAGGGACCTCTCTGGGGCCCCCGCTCCTTCAGACATTCCTAGTGCCCAGTGCTCTGAACCGACTGCAGAACAATGGATTTCCGGCCACAGGGCTGGCTGCCCCAGGACTCGCCACAGTCCTTCTCCGATGAATTCAGCCTCTGCTCTCTGCACGCTGCCCTTCCTCCTCCGCCCCCTGCTGCCCCCTCGTGGAAGCTCTCTCTCCAAATCCCACAAGTTCTTCAGCACCTGTTCGTCCAGGCCAGTAGGATGCAGTCCGGCAAATAATTCACCCCAAAGCACAAACTGAATGTATATCCTCCTTTCAGAATCAGATACGTTTCATTTTCAAAACACTTCTGGGTGGAGATAAGACAGAAAGGAAGTGATTAGTGATGGGGATATTTTTAGCTTTAAGAGGGGGTAGTCTCTTTTGAATAGAGAGGATTTTCTGGTGTTTTCAAATCCTCAGGCACCAACTAATGATATAAATGGTGATGGTAGCAGAAGTAACAATAGGGGTACTGAGTTCCCGTGATTAGTGCCGCTTCTAGTCGGTTTGTATCTAAGACTAGCTTTGCCTTTGTAGGAACAGACTGACAAGTTGGGGAACTTAAGGGCATCAGAGTTTGTAGCCTCGTCCAAGCTCTTCCTGTGCTGTGTGATGATAGAAAAACTAACGGAGCCTTAATTCCCTCTTTGTCCACGCACTGGAACAGTTCCCAAATGAACTGATAAAACTTCTTGCACCTGCCTGACGCACTACCCTGGGCCCACTGTCGTGTATTCATAAAACGCTTGAATCTTTGCTAGACATTGTCGGCTCACTGCTGGCTGACTGTCAAGGCTGTGATAATGTGGACCAGCGCTGAGCGACCTGTAGGGAGAATAGCCTCAAACTCTACCACCTCCCTTCCTGGTTGGATCTTCTCTTCCCAATTGCCCCACCTAGGTTTTCAAGTGTATGTTAGTATATGCCCTTGTGCGGTGTCTGAAATGTTATGTTTGCAGCCAAACAGGGCATAAGTAAGAGTAAAGGAAGTGAGACTAGCTGTTTTTCTTTGTTGAGTAGAACTCAGGCTTGTGGCTTTCAAGTCACTTTATAAAGTGCCACTGGAAGCAGGCCTGCCTCGGGGGCTGAGGTGGGGTGGAAGCAGAGACGCAATTAGAAGCAGTCCTGGCAGAGGCATTCTCCATGGCCGCATCTGAGGGTCACCCAATTGTATTTTTTAAGAAACAGCTGTCAGGTCTCTAGCCTAGAGCAGCTAAGTCAGAATCTCTGGCTTAGGGATCCAGGCAGTGTCATATTGTCTACAATTCCACGGATCACATTGGGCAGAGGGAGTGAGAGCCGTGGACTTAGTCCCTCCCTCTGCACGTGAGCGCAGGGAGACTTCCCGGGAGTTGCCGAGGGTCTCCCTGATGGTGGCAAAGGGCTGCTCCCCGTCCTCACCTCCTGCTCCTCAGTGTCCCTGCGTGTGCTCCTAACCATGCCATAGACACATCCGATTTTAAACAGTGACTCTTCTACTTGTGGGAATGCCCACAAAATTGGGTAAAAGACAAAGAAAGAATCTGAGCCAGGTCTTCTGCCCTGGAAAAAAATTAGCCTTGCAACCTGTGCTTTGCGTACAAGAGTATGCAGTCCCCAAAAGCTGCAGTCCCAGCTGTGCCACGTGCCCTCCTGTGGACACACTCCGACTTCCAGACCTTCATCTATTAAACAGGGATAATGGAATTGAAAACATTGAACCTGCCACAGTAACTGTTTTCTGATAATAGATGATAGCTTTAAAAACAATCCCCTCATTTAATTCATAGGTGAGACATCTCCATTGGATATTATCTAATCTTGAGCAGCAAATTTGTAATTGCATGCCATGTCTTCTCTGGAAAGCACCAACTTATTATCTGCATTCAGTACCTTCCAAACAGGACCTGGAGGTTCACAGCCCCAGGAGTATTGTATGGAATACTACATGAATGCTGCTGATCAGAAGAAGTCCTGCTCTTGTTTTCTGAATTCCCCATCTCATGTCCACTCTTTCCCTGGAAAAAGCAGGCTGCTGCATCTGTGCTTTTGTTTACACCAGTGGTTTTCTGATTTAACTGCAGAATTATTTTTCAAGCAAATTCTTGTATGTTTGTTGAATGCAGGGTTTCTTGGCCTCAGCACGGGTGACATTTTTGGCTGGATAATTCTTTGCTGAGGGGAGCTGTCCTTTGCATTGAAACATGTTTATCAGCATCCTTGGCCTCTACTAACCAGATGCCAATAGCACCAACAGTTGTAATAATCAAAACGGTCTCTGATCATTGCCAAATTTCCCCAGGGAGGCAAAATCACCCCTGGTTGAGAGTTAACATCTGATATGTAAAGCAGACTTGAGTGGGGCCGCTCGTGTAATGAAAAGGATGGGGCCTGCGAGCCCACATAGCTCATTACCTTTCCTTCCCACCCCCAGCCCCAGCTCCTGAAGCAGTTTAATGGAATGCCAGGTTCTGGAAGGAGTACTGAGCCATACACACACACAACACACTGGCAGCTACACATTACAACACCACAGCTACCATTTCTGTCTTTATCTTTCAAGACCTAGAGCAAATCTTCCATAGTTTCCCAACGAAAACATCCCTTCTTTAATCTCCATAATACATTTATTTCTCTCCTATTAAACTTCTCTACTGTGCAATTGTAGTTATTTCTGTACAACTCTTTATATGCTCCTACATAGCTCATTGTCTTGCACATTAGTTTGATGAGAGAGTTGGGCCTTAAAGGATGAGTTAGAGTCACCAGGAAGAAGAGGGAAGGAGAACAGTCCAGGTGTGAGCCAGACATAAGGGTATGAAGCTACTGGGCATGTTGAAAGCCCAACACATGACCTAGTTTTTAAGAGAAGGGATGTAGAATGAGATAAAGAAAACAGAGGCAGATTGAATCATGCTGTGAACAAATCCATATACCACCCAAGGAGATTTTATTTTATTTTGTACACAGTGGTAAAATTTTTAAGGTAGAAGGAAAGAAGTCAGGTGATCAGAGCTGAACTTTAGACAAATAAATTTTAAGGTGGTATAGCCAATAGATGGAAGACACAAGTAACTAAAAATAGAGATTCAGTTACAATAGTGTGCAATTTGCAGATAACAGATAATGAGGCCTGGGTAAGTGACCATTGGTTGGAGTGAATAAGATAGTTCTGAGATGTTTCATCAGAGGTATAACCTAAAACAATTTTAGGGGGATTGGAATATGAGAAAATGCAAGTAATTGAAGATGACTTGAAGGTTTTTAATTTTGGGAGTTGCCACTGGCAAAGAGAGGAAACATCAGAAGGTATGTAGGCTTGGTCTGGGGAGAAGAAACTGAGTTCATAATTGTCCAAGTTCAGCTGGAGGTACCTACAGGGTCAAACAGGCATGTGGGAGTCTGCTCAAAGAGTTTCCATTTAGAGTGTTTTATTCTTAGAGATAGAGTGGGGAGTCCTCCAAATACAGAATATGATAGGAGCCATGGGCATAGATGAGATTGCTCAGACAGAGAATAGAGAAAAATGTAAAGAAAGAGTCAATGTCAGAATGCTTGGGGAAAGGCTAATATCCTGGGGAACACCAACGTTTAAGAGGACCGAAGGATTTGGGAAAGAGACCCAGAAGGAGGGATGAAGAGAGAGGAGAAGTAGGAGATCTAAGGGGTAGAGGAAACCAAGTTGCAGAGGAGGGGTCAGCAGAATGGGGTGTTGTAGCCCAGGTAGCATGAGAAGAAAACCCTGGATATGGGAAGGAGGAAATCACCATTAGCCGTAAGAGAACACTTTAGGATCCTTGCAGGGAAGAAGAAGGCAAATTGCAATGGTTTCATGGAAAGTGGGAGTGAAAGACTAAAGGTAGTGAACACAGAAGCATCATGGTACAAAAGAGGAAGAAAAAGCAGTGGTGGCTAAAGGATTGTTTTAGGAGGGAAACACTTGAGTACAGTTAGTGGTTGATGTGAAAGAACCTCAGGAAAGATTCAAGGCAGAAGGAGAGGAAAGATAAAAGATAAATAAGGTCCTGGAAAATTTGAAGAAGTGAGTTTTAAAAAAACCAATAGAGAAATGAGCCTTAGAGATGACACTTGTGCTTACCAACTAGGAGGTAATTGAACCAAGGTGGCTGAAGATGGAAATCAGTTTGGTGTTCTGAACAACTCTTTTGGGGACTGGGAAAAAAAACAAACTGGTTATCTATCAATCAAAATATTTCAAACATCATTGATCACCCAGCCAAAGCTGCAAAAGATGTATTTATTTTGGAGCTAATCGGAAAGCTTATTCTTTTTCTTTAATTTCTGGAAGATTGACAGTATTTGAAGAATGTCTGAAGAGTACATGGTAGTAGGCAAGGTCGGAGGAAAGAAAGAAAAGGGACTATAGTAGAAAAAATTCACCAGGAGGGAGTTCAAGGGCCACGGGCAAGGAGTAAAGATGGCTGGGAGGGCATGCTGTCCTGGGAATGGGAGGAGGGGAGTAGAAGAGTTATTTTGAAGGGGAAATGCCTGGCAACCTGGGAAAGCATGAAGTTGAGGCTTCCACTGAAACATAGACAAGTAAGAGGGGCAAGTCATGAAAATGTTTCTCAAATGAGACAAATATCAGATGTCAGTCTAATTATTCCTCCTTTCAGTAATAACAATAATGGTAATAGTTTAGATAATCTGACATCTTTTCTCCTTCCTGTTGAAATCAAATCCAGACACTTCTGTTTTTTACATTCCAAAGGCTGTCACTAATGATCTTTTTGTCAGGGGCAGGCCCCAGCCAGGCGCTGTTCTAAGCATCTGTATATGTTAATTCACTTCACCTGATGATTCTGGGCCATAGCTGTTATTATTTATGCCCATTTTACATCCGGAGAGACTAAGGCACAGAGCAGTGCAGGGGCTTTGTAAGTGGCAGAGCTTGGGAATGGCCAACTGGTGCCTGAGGCGGTAGGCCTAACCACCGTACAACCCTGATTCTCCATTCAAAGAGAAGACATCTAATTTAAATAATAACTCTTTTTCATTGATTTGGCCTCTTTGCTACTAAATCAGAGAGTCAGCCACCCATAACAGCAAAGAACTGCTGATGTCATTGCAGGAAACACTGAAACAGACCTGGGTTCCAGCTGCAGCAGATACACCCTCAAGGCCGATGGAACTCAGTGTCCCAGCGGGTCTGCGGGAACCACAGTCACCTACACGTGTGAGTTCACCAGCACCCACGGAGCCAGAGGCAGTAAGAACATAGAAGTGACGTTCACCTCTGTGGGTAAGGGCTCTTTCCCTGGACTTCCTGGCCTTGCACCTCAAGCCAAGGGCTGCCAATCACCTGGGAATATCCATCTGTGAGCGGAAAGGCAGGGCCTTGTCCCATGCTGGGAGTGCGGCTGGGGTAAATCAACAGGAGAGACAGGAAAGGATTTCCCTCTCTGCCATTTAAATTCAGGTGAAGCCCTTACAATTCAGAAGGGAAGGGGTGGCAAGCAGTGGATTCAGGGAAGGAAAAGCCTGCGTTGCACTAGTCAGGCAGAAAGTGGGCTGGGAAGTAATTTTACACTCAGAATAGTCCTATTTAATCATTGAATTGATAGTGTATAACATCCCTAATTTTCCCCTTTTCCTCCCCAAATCCCATTCTCTGCCCTTTGAATTCCAATAGCCTAGCTCATTCTTCACCCCCCTTCACCCACCTGTCAGCCCTCCTCTCCCATTTCACTTATTCTAGAGAGCAGGCTGCAGAAAACTTTAATAATCGGATGCTTTGTGGTTATTTTACAGTTGGAACACATGTTTTTGAAGTGTCATTTCTTCTCCTCATATCATAAAGCATTATTTTTTCACCCCATCTGCAAAAAAAGGGGCAGGCAAACTTGTTTTTCCACCCATCTGATAAAAACAAACTATTAGATAAGTCATCAGACCCCTCTCTAAACCATTTGGAGAGGAAAGGCTGGTATAAACAATACTTGTTACTCTTGTTCACAGTTTTCTACTATTGTGACCTTGGCATTTTTACAAAGATCAAAATTAGGTTTGTATGAAAACATTCTTGTTATAGAAGAAGCTAAGAGTGTTTTGAGCAACGAGCAGTTTTCTATAGTGAGAACAGTTGTACCCTCCAAGTTTTACTAAGACTTGTGTTGATGACATGCACTTTTGGCTGCCTTGGGGACATGTTCCACCTTCACTAAGAACCAGAACCAGTGGCCTGGTGATTTGGACCTCATCTGAGAATCAAGAGAACCAGATTCGTGGTCCTTTGAGCCCTTACCTTTCCACTCTTGGAGACCACTGAACCTTGAAGTGGCATCTCAAGATGCCCACACCACGGGACAGGGGAGAGGGGAAAGGAGGCAGGGTAAGGCCATGCCTGCATGACTTTGGGATGTAAATATCTGAATGCCCAAAAAAATGTATCCAAGCATTTGAATCCCAACTTCTAAAGGGTACAATGAAAGCTCAGATTTCTCTTGATTATAACAAAGAATAAGATTCTACACTGGAAAATCTTGCCAGTGTAAAAAATTGGAAAAAGTGGGCCAGCATCAGTGGGCTCAAGGCATGAAGTTGTTCACCGGCAGAAGACAGAAGTGAATGGCATTTTGAAATGTCAATTACGTAAAAGACATGCTCAAAGAGGAGTGGGAAGATAGAACCAGAGGCAGAAATAGTGGACTGTTCCTGGGAGATTTCCCATTTGTGAAGGTCTTTAACATTTTCGGTGAAGAATTCCTCATGAACCTGTGAAATTCTCAGAGAGAGGAGGAAATGTAGAGACTTAAGTTCGGGAGCCTGTACATTCCAGTTTGCCTGAGACTGTCCAGGTGTAATTATTTGGGCAACAAGCTCCATGAGCCCTTTACTTAAAACGTGGTTCCAGAAATCACTCCTTTGCTTAGTGAGCGCTGACTGTGTTCAGACCCAGCACAAAGGCTGGAGATGCAAAGACGCAGAAGAGGAGTCCTATTCTTGAGGGGCTCACATTTTTAGGGAGAAACAATATAGAAAGAGATAAATTGAAATAGAATGTGGTATTATTATTTTTTAAGTATTTTAAAAGAGTAGACAGTGAAATCGTTACAAGAACCGAGACATTTGGTGTCCTTTGAGGTGTCACGGAAGAGGTTGGAGGGGAGCTTGGGTTAAGTCAACACCCCTAAGTTTGCAACCTTTTGCCCTGCCGGTCATCAGGAGATAATCCCAGCCACAAAGGGGGAGTGCACGAGTTCCTAAGGCATGTGATGGAAATGAGTACAGTTCAGAGCACCACCGGGAACAGCCTAGAAACAAGTAAAGCCCAGCAACAGCAAGGTACCAATCCCACACTAATACGAGTACAGTCAGGACGGGCCATGCTTTCCGTCTCCATCTTAAATTTCACCCATGTGCCGATGTCACCAAAAAGACTAAACATTGTGCTTGTTGTTGGTTTTTCTTCTGTCTGTCTTGTTTGCATTCTTTCAGCCAACCTAACAATAACCCCGGACCCAATTTCTGTTTCTGAGGGGCAAAACTTTTCTATAAAATGCAGCAGTGATGTGAGTAACTATGATGAGGTATACTGGAACACTTCTGCTGGAATTAAAATATACCAAAGGTTTTATACTGCGAGAAGATATCCTGATAAAGCTGAGTCAGTTTTGACAGTGAAGACCGCAACCAGGGAGTGGAATGGTGAGTGGAAGGCCATGTCCCCTGCTTTGCTGCCCAGGGCCCCTGGGAATGCACTATGAGAGTTACCATCCATGGAAGATCAGTCCTGGGGCATGCTTATGTCATTGCATTTCATGCAACAGAACCTTTGGAGGATGGTGTCATTGCTCCCATTTTACAGATGTGGAAACTGAGGCTCAAAGAGAACAATAAATATACTTCGACTTCTACAATTTCCATTGCAAAGCCAGGATTGGAAGTAGTCTCTCTAAGTCTAGAGCCTGTGCTCTTGCCAAAAAGTTAAGAGGACTGATTTTAAAAGTACTTTTTTTAGACTTTTAGGAGTGTTTCATCCAACCATGAAACCCAATTGTGGTATTAAAAAGTCTAGGTAAAGATGTATATATGCTTAGTTCCAAAGAAAGCACCTTTTTATTTCCTATTTATCTCTTTACATTATTCATGTTGGGAAGAAGTGGAAATCTTTGAAGAAAAAGAGAGAATTTGATAAAATTGCTATAATAATAGCCGACATTTATTGTGTCCTTACTACTGATAGGCACTTTGCTAAGTATGTTAAGTGTATTAATTCATCTAAACCAAAAAAACGAGAGGATAGTGTTACTATTATGCTCCTTTCACAGAGAGGGAACCGAGGCCCTGTGAGGTCAAGTGACTTCCCTGAGGTTATGATGTATCTGGTGAATGGCAGAGTCAGGCTGAGACTGAGACCCTCTGGCTCCAGTGGTCAGCTCTTAACACTCTACTCTAAAGTCTTCGATTGACTGTATGGTTAATTGGTCCAGAGCCTGTGAGTCCCAGGTCTTTATTTTTTCCTATACAGCCTAGGCAACATTGTAAAATTAATTCATTATTGTTTGGCTAGACCTGGTAGCGTACAATCAGGAAGTGGGAGCATTTTTCTCCCACTGGTAAACTGACGTCCGCTCTGCCCAGTTGCCCCTTCCTGCCACTGGGCAGTAACAAGAGGGGCCATTAACTCTTCCAGTCACATTCAACCGTCAAGTCTCAGACACCAAGAAAACCTATTCTAACTTAAACCAGCTATGCTGTTTTTTCATACTGAATTAAAATTTCCTCCCTCCCTACAGGAATTGAAGGGAGTTTCTTCTCTGTCCTTATTCAGCCTGTGTTCCCTTTGGCTGGTTGCTGCTCTGGCTCCTCCAGAGTTGGGGCAAAGAGAAGGAAAGCAAAGGAAATCAAGGGTCTACGTATGCTGTCAGGGCTGGTACAGTCTTCCCACACTGTCCCCATGGCGGCTGCTCAGATGGTGGCCCCTCCTCTGCTGTGCCCTGGCAGCAAGTCCACTGGAAACAGTCCTTTCCAGAGGCTTCTGGAAAGGACACAGTCCTCTCTGCCTCCCAAGCTCTGGGGCTGGGGGCTTCTCCAGCTGCAGCCTTCCCTTCTCACTCCAGCAAAGTCAGGCAGCCTCTCACCTTCAGACTTTTCTGGATACGAATCAGACATGTAACTCCAGGGTCCATGGGTCAAGCCCTCCCAAGAGATCTCCCTCTCCCTCTCTGTCCATTTGGAGATGGCAGAAGAGGCATTACAACACTGCAGTGCTCCACCTGGCTGACAGCTCCCTCCAAAGAACTCTTCATCCATCCGAGCATACACCCAAATTCCCATGTTTTTCCCGGATTAATGAAAGAACCTTGGTGTAGGTATGGGGAGCGTGGTTTGAAACCCAATTCCTCCCCTTATAGGCTGCATGACTTCGGATAAGCCACTTAATTTTAAAAAGTAAGTGAATATTTTGGTAGCTATGGTTAGTCCTTCCACAGCAAAGAGAACCCAGGAGGGGAGCTGTCCAAGGATTTTCCGGTTCAGTGTCCAGGAAGGTGTGATGTGCCCTCACTCAGGCTTGATGGGGAAAACAAAGCCTTTTCCTAACCTCCCCAGAAAAGGCCTTTTTGGAGCGTGATCTCTTTTCATCTTGTTTTTGCTTCCTTCTGCTCAGGAACCTATCGCTGCATATTTAGATATAAGAGTTCATACAGTGTTGTGACCAAAGATGTCACCGTTCACCCGCTGCCGTTAGAGACGAGCATCGTGGTGGATCCTTTGGAAGCTACGGTGTCATGCAAAGGTTCCCATCGCTTCCAGTGCTGCGTAGAGGAGGATGAAGACTACAGAGTCACTTTCCAGATGGAGTCCATCATCTTTCCTGCTGGTAAGATGACAACTGCTGGATTGGATATTGTTTCATGTATAAGGAGTCTAAAAAACTCTTAAAGTAGGAGTAAAGAGACAGGGTTTGCATCAGAGGCAGAATGTAACAGAGTGAATCTCATGAGCCTTTATAATCTTATATTTTGCTGTGTGGCCAGGGCTTGTTGGTCTGTGGCAAAATCTTGAGTCTGTGAGAGAGGGGCCTATTGTTTTCAGTGGGAATTGTTGAAGAAAGTCCCCAGACACCTCCACAGGCCTTCCACTTCCTCAATAGAGCAAGCTGGATCTTTCCAGAGCCCTCCTTCCATGCTATGAATCAGCATGCTGGAAGGGTGCAACAAAGATTCTTCCAAATGTGCGGTTGAACCTGCAAGACAGTAAGAGAAATAACCAAGGGCCTAAAACATAGAGGAAAAGAAAAATAGAGATAATGCTTTAACTAACGCTGGGGATTCCCTGAGGTACCTGTCAAAATCAGAAACCCAGGACCTTGGGTTTTAAGGCTCTGAAAAGCATGAAAGGAATGGCCTGCTCTCTGTGCCAAAGCTAAGGCACTCCCATCCCACCAGAACAATGGCAGGACCCTCGAAGGATCATAAGCTCAGCAAAAGAATAAGCTATATAAACAAAATTCATTGCCGGCGTTAAGAGCTTGGCCTCATCTCTGGGTGGGCAGGAATTTCCCCAGAGATTTATAACTGCCCTCACTGAGGTTTGGGGTTTAAATTTATACTACTACCTGTGTGGTCTAGGACCTCCAAGCTGGGGAGTAATTAGCTTAAAGTGATTCATTGGTAGCACTCAGTGGCACCTAGCAAAGACATTTCAAATCCTGTCAGGTAAACTGTGCCCTCCATCTAGATCCTTCAGGAGTCCCACCAACTAAGGTCTACCACATATGAGCTCACAACCCCCAAATCTCAAAACACAGACACCTCCATGAGGGCTTTGCAAGCTCTTTCATTCTTTTAAGAACTATTCTTGGTGATCTGCTACTCAATGCAAACACCATCATAAGTAGTAGAAAGGAGACAAAAGATATTTTAATAGCTAGAAGGGTTCATGTTCTAAACGACAATCCATATAACATCAAATATCCAAAATGAGCAATACCAATGGAAAGGACACTGGCAGTTCAGAAAAGCAGAGACCCAATAAAGACTTGAGAATTTAGAGAGGTCATGTGGTAGGGGGATATGGAATCCATTTCCATTCTGACATATTTAAGCATTTCACTATTCTGTGTTCAAATGCATGCCAGATTCCAAGCTGGGACTGGGAGATGCAAAGATAAATAAGACCAGATACCTTCTCTCCAAGGCTTTATGGTCTAGTGGAAGAGATAGACCCATAAAGTGGTGACTCTACACCAATGCAGTGAAGACAGGACAAGATAAATGTGCAGGGCATGGTGGGAGGTAGATAGGTGGAAGGGTTTGAGGGATGCTGAAAGCTACTCTGAGTGTCTAAAACTGTGTGGGCACAGATTTGGTGTCATGAATGGTGGCGGTACACGGTATAGGCTAGCACATGTGCAAATGTGGCCTTAACTCACTTCCAGGCTACAGGCATTTTAAAAAACACATTAAAAATGAGTATGGCCCATTCTTGGGGAAATTTTGGACAAATTTGTCCATCTTGGGTCATTTCAGCAAAATCTGTGCTCCATATAGTCATGTTGTGACTTATTTATTTCAATCATGCTATTTTAGCAAAAGAAGTTAATGGAAAGCAAGTGTGCTACACATACAACTTCAAGGCAAGCTCGGTTCCCTGGTGTTCACAGAAGGTTGACGTGTTTTGTCGCTTTACCAACACTGCTAATAATTCAGTCCAGAGCCCATCTATGAAGGTTCATCTGGTTCCTGGTGAGAGCATTTCAAATTATTTTTAAATGTCATGCTCAGGGGCAGGAATTCATTTATTCATTCACTCCCTCATTCATTCATTCAATAAATATATGTTAGCACTTTTAAAGGACAGGCCTTGGGCAAAGCATGGGGGATATGAAAAGAAAAGAGCCGTATTTCATGACCTCAAGCCTAAGGGAGAGAGATAAATGTGATAACAAAAAAAGTTGTCATATATTGTGGGTGGCCAGAAGAGACTGCCAGGCTTAGCTCTGCTGGTGATAAGTGGGAAGGAGGTCATCAAGAGAGCCTTGCAAATGAAGCCATATCTCAGCTGAGTCGGGAGGCTAAGCATTGATTGCTCTAGGCAGGTAAGAGCAGGCAGTGCAGGGGTGCTGAGACTCCTTTGATGTCTCAGCAAAGGAAGGGTTGCATTCCCACCAACACTGTTTTCCCAGAGACAGGCTTATACACAACTGATGAATCTAAAAAACAGGCAATTTTCCTTTCAATCCTTTGTCATGACTGAGCCAATATCCCTCATCATAATATTTTCAAAGTAAAAGTCATGGTTTATAGAGCCATTTTGGGCATGGCCCATGCTGAAGAGCTCTTCTCAGTAGCAGCAGACGAGCAAGTGGATAAACGAGGATCCTGGGCTTCCCACATAAGCAATTCCTCCCGCAGAAACCTTCTCTGTCACAGGAACCGTGATACCTGAAGGGCCCGTGGCTCTATCCAAAAGCTTGTCAGACTTTTCTGTGTGGTTTGTGTCCGTGCTCACATCTGTTGGTCACCGAGTCTTGGACGCCAGTGTAAGAGGCAATGTAGAGTAACCTTCCTCTCCGAGTCACTCTCCTTGAACCCTACCAAGTTCACCTCTTCCAGGAAGCAGCCAAGATCACTTCTTCATTGTCCTGCCACATCTGCGTTTTGTTCACTTACCTTGGTTCTTCTCTGCTTCCTACCAAGTCTGATTCCATGTCCTTTTCCTAGTAGAACATGACTTACATATTTCAAGATTATACAAATGACTGAGAATGCAATGCTAAATTTAAAAATTGGCAAGAGAAGGATCTGCTCATCATAAAATCACGGTCCCTGGAGATTAGAGAGTCTACATCAAACGTCATTTGCCCATTCAAGTCTGGCCTTGAGTACAGGTGAAATAGGGTCACCTTTAAGGGAAACCAGGAGGAGCAAATACTTATAAATATTGCTAGAATATTCAGGTCATGGGTGCCTGGAATTCCCACTAGCTACATCTTTGGATTAAGGTGGTGCTCCTCAACCTTGGCTACCTGCTGGAATTGCCAGGGAAGCCTAAAAAAATAGCTGATGCCAAAATCCCAGCCCAAAGGTTTCTGATTTACTTGGTCTGGAGTGAGCCTGGACATTGGTATTTTCCAAGCTGCCGGGGTGATTCTAATATAAGAGATGAGAATCCCTTGTATTAAGGCATTGTGTCCCTAAGGCTTCTAGTAACCTGAATATCTTTATTCAGAGTTATTTTATTTACTTTTTTTTGAAAACTACTTTATTGGCATATGATTGACACAGGAAAAGCTGTACATATTTAACCTATACAATAAGAGCCTGTTGTTTTTCTTTATCCCCGTCACCTATTTTATCCACCCCACCCAAACTTTCCCCTATGGAGGGGATACTCATGGAGATATTCTCCCTGAATATCTTTTATCTGAATGCAGAACACACCTTAAGCTGTCATTATTTTCTATGGCTTAGATTTTACAGGCAGCCGAGTGAAGATTCCTGGGGACTGAGGTGGGAGTGAGGCATAGAGGAAAGAAATTCTGTTAGGAAAAGCAAGTACAGATTAAGTCCAGATTCATTTGGAAGGCACTAAGGGGTTTTGGAACATCAAGGGTGAAATAAAGAAATCTGTTAACTCTGAAAAGGCCACTAAAAGTAAAAAGAAAGATGAATTCAAACATCAAAATTCTACCTAGGCCTGACCCTACTTTCACTCTCTTTTCTCCGCCTTTCAATTGTCCCTTTTATTTTCATGTTTCCAATGCAGAGGAGAACATCGCATGCCAGGATCCCATAATTGGTGCCGGGGAGCCTGAGAAGGTCGTCCAGAAGCTCTGCCAGTTCTCAGACATTCCCAGCAGCCCTGCAGGTCCCACTGGTGGGATCTTAACTTACAAATGTGTAGGCTCCCAGTGGAAGGTGAAGAGAAATGACTGCATTTTTGCCCCAATAAATAGTCTGCTCCAGCTGGCGAAGGTGATCCTTAACATTTTGACTCTGGGCTCCTGGTGGGGAAATCTGTCCAGCTTATCATATTTCTTAGCAGTTAGGAAAGTGTTCGCAAATATATTTGTTATTTACCTATTTCCAAATAAAATGCAACCCTATTGGAAATGCTTAAAAATTTGCTTAAATACAGCTATGGAGGCAACAAAATATGTGTTCCGCTCTAGGACAGGCTGTATGCCTTCTCCTGGACTTCTCAGTACCTTGTTCCCATTACATCCAAGGAAAGCCCAAAGGTAGCATTACTCAACTGCTATCCATTGAATAATTTTGATATTGAAAAATAGCTCTGATCATCTCAGAAAGAAGAGCAACACAAAAATAAGGTTCATCAGCACACAATAAAATAGCTGGGCTTTATGCTTTTACAGGTCTGAGTTTTCCTCAATCCTTAGAGGTAACTGATAGTTACAGAGGAAGTCTCTCTTTCCTTGGATAGAGGTTACTGCCATGTGGTAGGGGAAAATTCCTTTCTTTCCATCAGAATAAATAAATGTCACTTCATACTTAAGTTGTTAAGAGTTACAGACTCCTAAAATTCCATGAGTTACAATAAACGAATACTGATGAGTCAACTGGTGGGATTTATAGTTAACATGATGTCTTCAGATGTCCAATTGCAAACCTTCTAACCCTTGGTAGAAGAATTGAGGAAAAGTGGTGATACTGTTTTGTGTTTTATCTAAATATCTTCTGTCTCTCCTCTGCTCTTACAGCAAGTTTACTAAAATGCCTACTATGTGCAAAGCATTAGTCTAGGTGCTATCAGGGTAAGAGACCAAATTAGATCTTGGCCACTGATTTGATAGAGAACATAATCCAATTGGGCAGTTACATATACATTAATTTTGGCCAAGATTATCAGGAAGCTCTGGTTGAGAAATTTGGCATCTGAATTGGACCTTGATGAATGACGCATCACAGGATGACACATTTGTAAACGATCCTAATCAAGAAGATAAAAATATAATTTGAACTCAACATTGAGCCCTGGTCTCAATTCTAGATGCCGAGATACAGTTTCAGTGGAAGGGGCATGCTGACCTATCATGCTCCATTTGGTTTATCCATTCAACTTACGGGAATGGAAAAAAAAGGAAACTAAAGATGTGAGAGATTTCTGTCATGGGTGGATTGGCAGGATTTGATGACTGGACGGACTGGCAAGATTTTTATTGGTCTGTGTTGGCTTGTGTCTTACTAGGCTTTGATCAAGAGCCCCTCTCAGGACCAGAAGCTCCCTAAATTCCTAAAGAATCTTTCTATCAGCACAGGCAAGGTGCAAAATGAAGTCAAATCATCTCCTGGGAGCCTAGGGGCCATTATTAGCATCCTTGATCTACTCTCAACAGTTCCTAACCAAGTGAATTCAGACATGATGAAGGTGAGTTTGTTTTAAGTCTTGCAGTAATTTGGGGCCTCATCTTTTCACCCCTAGGGACTTGTGGTCAAGAAACATAACTTCTCCATTGCAGCTTCCTCCCTGTCTTTTCCAGAGCAATGCTCTTGATATTAGAATCACATAACATGCGTTGCTCGCTATGGCTTTTTGGGTATCAGAGAGTGTTTCCAGCATTCATTTTGGAGCCTTCAGATTTCTTTAGGAAATCTCTGTTTCAGTTTCTTTATTAAAATAGAATGAATTCTTATCTGCTTTCTAAGGAAACCAGGAACTGAATGTTTTCAAAATATGTACAAGGTGGGATTCTCAATGGTCTAGCACTAAACATGGATTTGGAAGCAATCAGGTTCCTGAGAGGTAAGAGGAGTCATACACAAGAGTTCAAATGAAAAGACTTCACTGAAGAGATACTTACAGAGGTAAAACCAGGGATTAAAAAAAAAAGGTAACCAGAGACTAACAATATCTAGAAGCCACTTAGCCGAAGGAGAGCTGAAGCCTGGAGGAGGGCTCACTTGGCAAGAGCTGTAGTATTGGAAGGACGTAACTGTCACCAAAGATGCGCTGAGGAGAGTATGGAAGGGGGTGGAGAGTAGGAAAAATCTACTTCAGTTTCCTTCTTTTCCCAACCTTCCACCTCCTGCCAGTGCTTCCCACTGGCTGAACTCACCCAGAGGTGAATGGCAAGCAGCTTGGGTGACAAGAACCCAAGGAGGTTATGTAGATGTCCTAGTGTAACAAATTGTCACAAACTGGGTGGCTTACAATGACAGACACTTTTCCTCATATAGTTCTCGAGGCTAGAAATTCAAAATCAAAGGGTCTGTAGGACCAAGTTCCCGCCAGAGGCTCTAGGGGAGAATCTTTGTCTCTGACAGCTTCTAGAAGTTCCGGCATTCTTTGACTTGCTGCTGCCTCGTTCCAATCCCCAACTTCTCCTTTCTTCATTTATCTTCTCCTCTTCTGTCTCTTATTAGAGTACTTGTCAGTGGATTTAGAGCCTACTGAGGTAATCCAGCATGATTTCCTCTCAAAATCCTTAATTACATCTACAAAGTCCATTTGTCCAAATAAGGTCACGCTGATGGAGTTTGGATATTAAGACATGTCATTTGCAAAGAAAGGTGGAGAAAATATACAGTGTGAAGGCACAGATGGAAAATGACAAGCCCAAATTTATGGGAGAAAGAATCAAAATGTTTAGCAAAAAAGAACAATGCCTTTAATAACACATTTCAGAGGATCTTTTGAGACTACCACACCCTTGCTGGTGAAATAGCACTCACCAAAAGCCTTTATAGGTTTGAGATTTTAAATAAAATAAAACAATTAGAGATATCTCTTCCAGGCTGCTGAGTTGGCCTTAGTGAGTGGTGGGGGGTGGTCTTACTGCCTCTACTGCTAACTTTATAATGAAGTCCCCCAGTCTTCGGGACTAACTCCCCGCCTTAAGAGGGCAAGTCACAGATGCCCACAGCCTGTGATGCCTCATTTTCCTTTCTTTTTTTCCTCTTAACCTATACCCAACACAACCGATTTCCAGGGAGATGCCTTTTTTTTTTCTCTCTCTCTCTTACAATTCAGAGCATTTGTTTGGTTTGACCCCATATCCTGTAATTACAGCACGTCTTGTCCACCGTTAACGTCATCCTCAGCCAGCCCATCTTGAATACCTGGAAGGTATTCCAACAGCAACGGACCAATCAGAGTTCACAGCTGCTGGATTCAGTAGAAAGATTTTCCCGAGCGTTCCAGTCGGAAGGTAATGCCATTTCGTCCGTCCTCCACCCTCATGTGCAGATGAAGAGCATGGTCGTAAAATCCGGCCATCCAAACATCTACGAACAGAGCTTTGTTTTCTCAGACTCTGACCTCCGGGGCAGTGTGGTTATTGACACGTGCCAGTTGGAACACCTGCAGCCAGGATCATCCGTTGTCACCATGGCTTTCCCAACTATCAAAACCATCCTTGCCCAGGATGCTCAGGGAAAGAATTTCGCAGACAGCTTGGTAATGACAACCACTGTGAGCCACAATATAACCATGCCCTTCAGGATCTCAATGACTTTTGGGAACAGCAACCTTCTAAACAGGAAACTACAGTGTGTATTCTGGAACTTCGACCTTGCCAACCGCACCGGGGGCTGGGACAGCAGCGGGTGCTACATTACGAAGCACTATGAGAACAGCGTCTCCTGCAGCTGTGACCACCTCACGTCGTTCTCCATCCTTATGTCCCCTGACTCCCCAGACCCTGGTTCTCTCCTGAAAATACTTCTGGATATCATTTCCTACATTGGGTTGTGCTTTTCCATCTTAAGCTTAGCAGCCTGCCTAGTTGTGGAAGCTGTGGTATGGAAGTCAGTGACCAAGAATCGGACTTCCTATATGCGTCACATCTGCATAGCGAACATTGCTGCCTCCCTTCTTGTTGCTGACATCTGGTTCATTGTGGCCACCGCCATCCACGACTATTACTACCCACTCAACGAGACAGCCTGCGTGGCTGCCACTTTCTTTATCCACTTTTTCTACCTTAGCGTTTTTTTCTGGATGCTGACTCTGGGCCTCATGCTCTTGTACCGCCTGGTTTTCATCCTGCACGACACCAGCAAGTCCATTCAGAAGACCATTGCGTTTTCCCTTGGCTATGGCTGCCCTCTTGTTATCTCCGTCATCACGGTGGCCGCCACCCAGCCCCAGGAAGTCTACATGAGGAAGAATGCCTGTTGGCTCAACTGGGAGGACACCAAGGCCCTGCTCGCCTTTGTCATCCCAGCGCTGATCATCGTGGTGGTGAACGTGACCACCACGGTTGTGGTCATCACCAAGATCCTGAGACCCTCCATAGGAGACAAGCCGAGCAAGCAGGAGAAGAACAGCCTGTTTCAGATCAGCAAGAGCATTGGGGTCCTCACGCCACTCTTAGGGCTCACCTGGGGTTTTGGTCTTGCCACTGTGTTCCAGGGAAGCAATGCTGTGTTCCATATTGTATTTACCCTCCTCAATGCCTTCCAGGTAAGTTCTGCCGTGCAGCACTGTTCTGGAAGTATCTATGCTGGTGGACAGCTTAATGACAGAAACACAAACAGGAGTAGGAATGGGGAAGGATTTTAGTTCAGACAAGGCCCTAGCCCTAAAGAGCAGTAATTACAAGAACTCGGTGAAACAGAAAGGACACGTTCCTCTGCCTCCATGGAACCTCATACCTCTTATCACCTGCATTATAATTTAGTGGCATATGTGACTCTCTTCTAAATGCCCTGCTAACACAAATAGGGGGAAAGTCCCTTCCTTACACTGGATTTTGCTATGTATCCAACATTATCTCCATGCCGTCTATTATCTCCTAAATGAAAATATCAGTATTAAACCAAGTTATCTCTCTAGTTAATTTGCACAAGCATTAAATGAGCTCTGTCTCTGTGAGGTCAGGGAGAGCATCTGTCTTATTTATCACTGTATGCCTAGTGCTTTTGGCACAGAGAAGGTGTTCATTAACCATTGGTGAATGAAACAAATGCTCTGTACCACATTGTATGTTTTCTGGAAACATTTCCTGAAGTTTGAAAGAATCGATACTCTGTATAAGGTAGACATTCTGCTCCAGTATACTAAAATGAAAAAGACACACTCTTTGCTCTCCTGTAGCACATAACTGATTATAATACAAGCCAAATGGTTACAAAAGCTTTAGCAAAGGTACAGACAACAAGCCTTTGGAGTACAAAGGGAAGCTTAATTCTGATTTAATCCATGGGTGACTGGTAAGCACAGGCCCCATGGGCTACTGAGGAGGCAGGGGGCTTGGGGGTGACATTGAGACATTGCCATGACCATGCAAATCCTAAATTCTGCTACTGGGCCTATGGCCCCAAACTGTAAGGCTCATGTCTAATGATATTTATAATATGACTAGAAGGGACTTGTTATTCCACCCCATGCCCCAAGTCCTCATCACAACTATGTGAGCGCTACCATAGACTTAGGAGGTGTATTTAATAACATAACAAGCAGGACCCCCAGTTCAGGGGCGAAATAGGGAAATAGAAAATATCCTTAGAATGTTACAACATTTAAGGCCCCTTGTTGTGAACCTATTGTATCCCTTTTAACATTATCATCTACTGGACTCATTCCATAAATGCAGATGTGGAAAGAGATAGTACAAATTCAATGCCAGGTTAATGATACTTCTTATTTTGCTGGACAGTAGAATATGATTCAAATGCACTTCTTCCCAATTCCTTTTTTCAGGGATTATTCATTTTACTCTTTGGATGCCTTTGGGATCAGAAGGTAGGAACAATGACAATTTCATGCTTCTAGAAAAATCTGAAGTGTTTGTAGCATTTTGAATTTACAATGGCTTCTTTTAAATGATGCAGGTACAGGAAGCCTTGCTAAATAAGTTTTCACTATCAAGATGGTCTTCACAGCACTCAAAGGTAAATCTTTCCTTTGTGAAGACCTTTACAACCTCTCCTCTCCACCACCATGTTTAGTAGAGATGATTCCTTCGTTTTTGCTTCTCACCTGGTTCTGTCTGTCAGACACAGCCCGGGAGCTATTATTAAGCTGCTGTCCCCACATCCTTAAATAAGGGTCAAATAGCACAGGTGATATCATTTGGGGTTAAAATCAAATTTCAATAAGAAACATACAATTTCTGGGGAAACTTAAAGGTGTCAGAGAACATAATTTGAGGATTGAGGATGAATTGAATTTTTTATAGTTCATCTTGGGAAATAACTCTCACATTCAAATACATTTGACTGTTTCCACACGTCAAAAGATACTAAACCTTACCAAACAGTGAAACAGTGTATTTGAATTATTTTCCTAATACTCATAGGATTCCATTGTTTCAAGATGGCCCTGCTGTCGGATTTGAAGTGGAAATTCACACATCCCTGCTGTCACCTTCAGGAAGTGGAGGGAGAGGTGCAGGCAGTGTCCACTAGAAGGCAGCAAACGAATGGTCTTAGAGATCAAAACCAGGACGTGGTGTAACACATTTGCTTTGTAATTGTTTTTTTCTCTTTTCTAGTCAACATCTCTAGGTTCATCTACTCCTGTATTTTCTATGAGTTCTCCACTATCAAGAAGATTCAACAATTTGTTTGGTAAAACAGGTATGTAGTGACCTTTAGGTGCCACCAAACGAATTGATCCGATGGTGAGTCATCTCACACCCTGACTTGCCCATTCATGGCACTTACCTGCAGTGGCCTCATTTGGGGCAGAGGTTAAATACAGGAACTTGCTTATATTTTCCCAAGCCAGCAGGAGGCTTATACAGAGGGCAACTGCCTTCAGTGGGCAACTAATCGTAACTTACGAAGAATAAGAATTGGAGAATCTATTTAACCCTGTGGGGAGAGCTGCTTATCAAAACTATACCAACCATAAAAATGGAAACGTAAACTACTGGCCCTGGCAGAAACAGAATTCTTTTGTATTTATATTAAACAGGAATAGGTAGGTCATGTTTCTGGGTTACAGTACAGCAAAAACATTTATATTTAGAAAATCCTACTATAGGATCCCATGTTGTGGATTTCTTTTCCCTTTGTTTTTTTTTCATTTTTTGGTGTGTGCTTATTTTGTGCTTTAGCATTTATAAAACTGTGCCTACCTATACGAGGGATCACCCAAGTTAGCTCATCTGTTAGGAACACGAACAGCTGAAAGTTCCACCTTGGAGGTATAGGAGGTAATGTTAATGACTTTGAGCCATGGGTCTCAGCTACTCCAGCGAGATGAAGTCTGTCTGATGCCACCGTCCTCCCACTCCCCCACAAAAATAAGCACCAGAATTCCTTCCAGTTTCTTGAAACTGAACAGGTATCCCAAATACAGAGTCTAGAAATGCCTCAATATTCCAGACTAAGGCTCTTCATATAAAGGCACTTTGAATATGGCTCTTCATTGTTAAAACACCCTCGGACTTGGCCTTTGGGGCTTCAGTTTGGTGCCTTACTCATTACTCATGCACCTTCCCTTCTGATTTTGAAAGTCACTGATTGGGCCTGCTGTGAAATAATCACATTTTCAGGGGGCATTAGAACTACTGCCCCCAGCCAGCCCCATCACTGGAACATGTCTACTATTTGCATTAAAAGGAAAACATTCTACGAAATAAACCTACAGAATCAGAATTGGGTCATATATAAGGCCAATAATGTGTTCTCTGTTACTGAATCAGTGAGATAAAAGGACGGAGGCACTGTCCCCAAGGTCCCAGGGCCTGAGGTTCCCAATCATTGCCACCTGACAGCCTCCCAGAGGTCACTGGTGCAGCTCCGTGTCAGCCTATTTGAGGGTTCTGTAACCGCTGTAACTTTGGTTTATGTTGTCAGCAGCCCCAAGGGGCCCCCCAGTCAATGATGGAGACCTTGTTAGCTGTGGCAGCTCACCAATCTGATGGTAGGGTGGGCACCGAGCCCCTTCCCTTGCTCAGCACACACCTGCGCTCAGTCCCTGCCGTCCTGCCGACAGCCTGTGCAGGTGCTGCTCGCCTGTCCTTCCCTCTGCACTTGCTCTCGGCGCTTTTCTTGGCGTCCCCTGATCCTTGGTGCTGCCTTCCCTCCCCCTGTAATCTTTTTCCTTCCTTTTCCCCCTTCCCTCTCTTACGTTCCAGCTCTTCTGCCATGCCCCTCCCAAGAGCTTCCTTGAGTCACTTCAGCCCACGGGCACCCGGGAGTTTCCTTTGTGCAGATGGCCCTAGGCCCTTGCATGCAGTGCCATGCGGAGGGCTGCTCCTGTTGAGCTCTGCCTCCTCTTTGTGGAACCCTGGCTGCTGGTACCATGTGAAGTAGGTAGTGCTTGTCGGCTGCCCGCATGCTTGAGAACAACAGCTTTGCTTGTTCTCTGGCACGTCTGGGTCTTGGGAGGAGGGACGGGCATGGGTTTGTTTCCAGGCATGGCCGAGCTTCCCTGGCTCCTGGACTAGAGCTCCCCCGGGGGGCCCTTGGCAGAGGCTCACCCCCCAGCGGTCGTGCAGGCTTGTCCTTGATGCTGAGCAGCTACTCTGTTTTTCAGGAACATACAACGTTTCCACACCAGAAACAACCAGTTCATCCTTTGAAAAACTGGTACCATGTGAAGTAGGTAGTGCTTGTCGGCTGCCCGCATGCTTGAGAACAACAGCTTTGCTTGTTCTCTGGCACGTCTGGGTCTTGGGAGGAGGGACGGGCATGGGTTTGTTTCCAGGCATGGCCGAGCTTCCCTGGCTCCTGGACTAGAGCTCCCCCGGGGGGCCCTTGGCAGAGGCTCACCCCCCAGCGGTCGTGCAGGCTTGTCCTTGATGCTGAGCAGCTACTCTGTTTTTCAGGAACATACAACGTTTCCACACCAGAAACAACCAGTTCATCCTTTGAAAACACATCCAGCGCTTATTCATTGCTCAACTAAGAACTGGAAAATCCAACCCACGTGAACTCTTGGGGAACAGTGGAAGTGCTCTGGAAAAGAGATCCCTTCAAAGCCATGGATAAAAAGCTTTCTCTGCAGGCTTCTGGGAGCAGATGCTGAAGAGACTTTTTCATCAAGGGAAGAGGCTTTCTTTTGTAAAGACAGACTAAAAGGAATTGTTAAGTTTATTTTGCTGTCCCACCCCCACCCCTTGTGTGATACCAAATGTGTATAGTATTTAAGTGAAACAATACAAATAAGTCCCCCAAAACCCACGTTCTCTGTCTATATTGTAAAATAGAATTTTGAAGAGACATTTTCACTTTTCACACTTGGGGCACAAAGATAAGCTTTGATTAAAATAATAAGGAAAAGTCTAGGACCTAGGAAATTCTTCAGTGAATTCTAGGAAGGAAAGAAGGAAGGAAGGAAACTTGAAGAAAAAAAAAAGAGGAAACAGCATTAAGTAAGGACAACACTTTAAGATTTCTACATTAACAATCTAATACAATGACTCCAATACTGAAACACTGAGAATTCAAAAGTGGCTCAACAATGGAAATTGGAAGTAAGCCCTGGGGAAAGTATGGTATCTTCCTAGTATTTTCTTAGCTAAGAAAGAAAAATAAAAAGGCAGTGGGGAAAAATAGGGAGAGAATTATATCATCAGGATGCTTTCAAGTGGTTAAAATATTTCTAAGAAATGCGTGGAAGAAGACATGGTTCTCTTGAGGCTAAACACATACATATATACTCTGCATGTTAAGATTTGAGCTAATTGGAATGAATATGCAGAGGAATTATCATGACCATGCATTAGCAGTTCCAAGCAGATCCAACTGCTGATTACAATTTTTATAGTTTATCAGAACTCCTTATGTTTTGATTTGTTCCACTTGCTGAAAGCAAAAAACACTTTATTTTTGTATCCATTAATTGCACTGAAAATGGACCCCAACTGTCATGTATCATATTTAACAGCTTTTACCAGGTACTTCTCTGTGCACCATAGAACAGATTTTAATAACCTGATAGCACTGTATATCATTTTTGTTGTTCCTGTGGAGTTAGTGGCCTTTGGTGTGCTGTATAGCTCTCTCTGTAATAGCTCTTTCATTCCTTATTTCCCAGACCAATATACATTAAGAGTTTTGTGCTGCCTACTTTGTGTTTATTCCAACCACATGGAAATCTTCTGGAAAGATTTCCAGAGGCACATTCCCTCACCCCCAGCCCTCACCCCCATGCACACATGTGTACACACACACACACACACACACACACACAGAGGCATGTACATACCTCCCACCTTTCAAGCTCCAGCACCAGATCCAATTCTGGAAAAACCATGAAAACAATCAGTTGGAGAAATTCTGGCTGATTTTCTATGCTTCTAATGACACTTTACCTTGATGAACAGAGAGTGGCATTTTCCCCAAGGGTTTGGTTGTTTGTGAATTATGTGTACGTGGGTGTTTTGCATGTGTGTGCCTTTCATAAAAATACAAATATTTATTAAATTTGCATCCATGTTAATGTTAACCGTATGCTGTAGCTAAAGCACCCACGCATTCCAAATCAAAGCCTGATCCTAGGGAGGCAATGAGACAGAATAAAAACATGGGGTTACTCAGGAAATGTGGTTCATGTGGTCTTCGTAAGGACTAAGAACTAAAATGGACCCAACCCTCAGGAAGGTAGGATAACAGAGGCTGAGATTCAGCAACCACTCATATATTGAGTTTCAAAATAGTTTCCTTTTGCTATTTTAACTCTTAAGAATCTCTTCCTTTTATTTTTCATTTCAAATTCCACTTCTGACTCTTTTTTCTTCATGGGGAGGGGGAGGAGACAGATAGAAGTCCTAATATTGCTTCAAGCAAATGAACTCTTTATTTCTACATATGCCCAAATGGTGTAGGCATCTACTCCCATGCTTGCTGAAAACTGTCACATCACTTTCCTGACTGAATCATTTGTCCCCAGAATAAATGACTGTGAGGCTCTAAAAGTCCCCTGGGTGTGATCAACTTGGAGCCGAGAAGACAAAGCCAGAAGTTAGGTTGGAGGATCAGCTGAATTAGAATCAGGCTTTGACTGCTCTGGTCCCCAGAGTTATCTCAGGGATGACTGAGGCAGGGTTACGTAGTACAGGGTCAGCATGGCCATCGGGGCATGATCAGCCAGGGAAAGCACAGCCCTAAGGAGGAGTTCAAAGACACAAGACACAGTGCGACAAGAAACACCTTCCACCCACCGCAGGAGGGATCCCTCGAGAATCATTGTATGTGCTGTTGTAAAGGGAACCTCCATAATGGCGGGAACCTCCATAATGGCAGGAACCTTCTGAGGAGATCCACACGATGTGGATCTGGCTCTCTGCCCACATGCATAAACCTGAGGCACGTTCCCTCACCCCCAGCCCTCACCCCCATGCACACACATGTACACACACACACACACACACACACACACACACACACACACACACAGAGGCATGCACATACCTCCCACCTTTCAAGCTCCAGCACCAGATCCAATTCTGGAAAAACCATGAAAACAATCAGATGGAGAAATTCTGGCTGATTTTCTGCTCAACTGTAAGATACATAGTCCAACCACTGGTCTTCGCCAAGAGTATCCCAGAGTAGGCCATAAAGTGCAAAATTGTAAAACAGAACAATAGTTCATGAAACTACAAGCTATATGAGGGCCAGAGCCCCGCCTGGCCCTAGGTTTGCCAGTTCTCAGTCAGCAGTGATCAGAAGGTTTTAGCAGCAGATTCCTGAGGGAAGGAGGGGGAAGGAGGAACACTGGCTCTGATACTGGTGCAAAGTGAGAAGTGCCGTCTGTTTTGTTTGTAAGGAGCTGCCCCATGTTCCTAACATCTCACAATGTGTACAGTCAGTTCCATGAGCCAAAACTTTCTTATATTAATGGACCTCCTATTAGGTTTCTTGCAAAAGGGTCCATGCTAATGTTTCAGAAGCTGTGAGGTTGGAGCATTTGCAAATGAGCAATTCAAAGGAACTGCAGAAGGATTCTCTGGGAATATCGTGAGTCCAGTGTTAACACACATCTCTTGAATGAGGCATGTACCTTTCATCCTCCTCCCCATTTTCTTATTGTTTATACAGAGAAAGAGGTATGGTATTTTGTAGGGTTTTCAGGATAGAGTTTGCTGAGGCCAGACATTCAGAAATGCTGTGTGAAGTCAGCCTTTTGTGGTTTGTGTGAGAACTTCAGAGAAGTCAGTGTCAGAAGGTTAAGAGGAACACTTACATGGAGCTGAGAAAGATTATAGCAATGAGTAAGTGCACAAGCAGGGGAGGGAGTTGAGATGAGTGGAACCGAAAGTCACACCATTTGAGAAGACAAAAGGAAGTGAATATGGTCATAGAGTAAAAATGCCACGTAAGTGGACTGTATTTTATTTGTGGCATGCAAAGGCAATGTCAAATGGAGCCACTGTATCCCAGAGAGAAAATCAGTGAACATCCTAGGCCAACAGAAGTCTGAGTCCCTGAGTCTCCAAATAAAGGAGGGGCTTATTCAGGTATATCTTTCTAATGTAATTTTTAAATGTCAGTAAAAATAGTGTCTCATTATTTCAAAGATGTCTCATCCATTCAAAGATGGATGCTATAAGTTTCTAAAAGCATAATGTGGGATTTTAAATCCTATCTTAATAGTGTGCCAGCATATCGCTGTGTGTCCTTTCTTTGATAATAACAATAAAATATCTAAGAAGATCTCAGGGAGCTTTCTTTATATAAATTCTCTGCTCTTTTGCAATAGGCTACTGCTGCTGTTTCAGGCTTCTCCACGTCAACCAGAATTTAACTCTAATCTCCAAACAGTGAATGATTGCTCCCATCCCCTAGGCATGGGGAGGTGGGATGGGCTGGAGGGTTCCAGAAGCTCCCCTCTGAGCTCAGATGGCTCACCGGGCTGGTGTGTTTCCTCACACCACCTACACTTCTACTCAGCAGGTAGAGGCCAGAAGCTTACAGAGGATTTAAAGAAGGGATCTTGAAGTAAAACTTTTAGGACCTAACAGTCTGGGAAACAAATAAATGTCTTTTCTAACATTTGTGTGTGGTGTGGCTTGATTGGAATTTTCGTAGACAGCTGGAACAGAGCCCCGTGAGTTCTGTTAGCACTAGATATTTCTGGATCAAGGTCTCATGTTTCCTGTATTAGTTTTCTATTGCTGTGTAATACATTCCCACAGACTTAGAGGCCTAAAACAATACCCACGTGTTATCACATGGTTTCTGCAGGTCAGATGTCTGGACATGGCTTAACTGTGTCCTCCGCTCTGGGTCTGAGCAGGCCGAACTCAGATTGTCAGCCTGGGCTGCTCTCATCTGAAGGCTGAGGTCCTCCTCCAAGCTCACTGGTTGTTTGGCAGAATTCCATCCTTTGTAATTATAGAACCGAGTCCTTCAGCTCTCAGAGGCAGCCTGCTCTCCCCCGCTGTGTGGCCTTCTACACAACATGGCAGTCTGCTTTCTTGACATCAGTAGGAGAACTTCCGTTTTGCTTCGAATCTGACATTTACTGTCTCTGATCTCTAGACCCTCTTCTAGAGGGCCCACCTGGTTAGGTCAGGACCACCCAGGATAATCTCTGCTGTGATTACCTCCCAGTCAGATGGCTAGGGGCCTTAATGATATCTGCAAAACCCCTTCATCTCTGCCACATGATGTAACCCCATCGTGGGAATGGTGTGTCGTTGTGATCACAGGCCCTGCCTGCCTTCAGCAAGAGAGGATCATATAGGATGCTTCGTCAGATTGTTGAAACAAAGCTAAGGACCCAACACCATTCTGTAGAATCTTCATGAGGCATAAGCTGTGGATATGTGGCCTGGAAGCTTCCTCTATCCATAACAGGCATCACACCTAGAAAGATCTCTCTGGCAATATCAGTAATAAAGCTCGTGTGCTTAAAATATTGTAGTATTATTTTGTCTACTGACTCTGCAAATGTGAAAGAAGTTACCTTTCCCAAGTCAATGGCATCCACCCACATGGAAATTCAGGGAAAGGATGCTGTTTGGAGAAGCTTGATTTGTCCAGAGGAAAAGAGGCATGCCAACTCCGGCGATGGCAACCTTCCCCAGACCAGAGACCTCAGCATGCAGGTCCCAGCCAGTCCTCTAAGCTTTTGAACATCTGGCCTCCCAGTCCTGAAAAATAAAGTCAAATGCTCCACCAAATGGGTGCTTCTCATCCTACAAACCTCTCCGTGAAGTGCTGCCACCTGTAGCCTGCAGGTGGCGCTGGCAATTGGGAAAATTTTCATACCTTAACAGACAGACAGATCTCCCCTGAAGTAACCCTCTGCCATCACAGACTGCATGGGTCTCTGTAGCTTGTTTGGAGTTTTCTGTTCATTTGCACTGATTTTGTGTGTGTATGAGATAATATATACATCATTTAGAAGAAAGATGTTCATTTTTGTATTTTGAAGACCCTTCCCCACCCCCCGGGCTTTATGACGTTTATACTTTATATAAACAGGGAGGAAAACACGCTTCCTAGGAATACTTTATATGAAAATGGATGCAGCTTTCTTCCAACTATTCCATAACTCCTTTGTCCAGACCGGTATTGTCTGATAGAACCAGTACAAGAGTCATGTATATTTTAAATTCTTTAGTAGCCACATTAAAAAAAGTCAGTAGGTAAAATGAATTGCAGTAATCCATTTTACTCAACCCAATATATCCAAAATATTATTATTTCAAGATGTAATTATTATAAACTTATGAGATATTTTACATCCCCTTTTTTTTTGGTACTTTGCTCAAAATCCAGTGTGTACTTTACACTTAGAGCACACCCCAGTTGCCCAGCCACATTTCAAGTGCTCAGAGGCCACATGTATCTAGAAGGTACTGCATTGCACAACATGGCTTTAGAGCATAAACCAGAGACACGTGTTTTTGCTATTTTGTTGCCTTCTGTATACAGAACAGCAGGGTAGGAAAATGAATTTAAAACAAGGCCTGTACCACCTCATCTGGCGGGTCTATGCAGGGACTCTGCATATATGCAGAGGGGCAGAAATCCGTAAGACTCCAGACACCTCTCTTCCATATAACTCCTGCCGCTCCAAGCTGACCAGAAAGCCACACTGTTAGAAATTCTCC